ACAGTTTCAGAAAAATAGGTATTAATTCTTCTTTAAATGTTTGGTAGAATTCCCCTGGGAAGCCATCTGGCCCTGGGCTCTTGTTTTTTGGGAGATTTTTGATGACTGCTTCAATTTCCTTAGTGGTTATAGGTCTGTTCAGGTTTTCTATTTCTTCCTGGTTCAGTTGTGGTAGTTGATACATCTCTAGGAATGCATCCATTTCTTCCAGATTATCTGATTTACTGGCATATAGTTGCTCCTAATATGTTCTTATAATTGTTTGTGTTTATTTGGTGTTGGTTGTGATCTCTCCTCTTTCACTCATGATTTTATTTATTTGGGTCATTTCTCTTTTCTTTTTGATAAGTCTGGCCAGGGGTTTATCAATCTTATTCATTCTTTCCAAGAACCAGCTCCTAGTTTCGTTGATCTGTTCTACTGTTCTTTTGGTTTCTGTTTCATTGATTTCTGCTCTGATCTTTATTATTTCTCTTCTTCTGCTGGGTTTAGGCTTTATCTGCTGTTGTTTCTCCAGCTCCTATAGGTGTAGGGTTAGGTTGTGTATTTGGTTCTGTATTTGAGACCTTTCTTGTTCCTTGAGAAAGGCTTGTATTGCTCTATACTTTCCTCTTAGGACCACCTTTGCTGCATCCCAAAGATTTTGAACAATTGTGTTTTCATTTTCATTTGTTTCCATGAATTTTTTAAATTCTTCTTTAATTTCCTGGTTGACCCATTCTTTCTTTAGTAGGATGCTCTTTAGCCTCCATGTTTTGAGTTCTTTCCGACTTTCCTCTTGTGATTGAGTTCTAGTTTCAAAGCATTTTGGTCCGAAAATATGCAGGGAATGATCCCAATCTTTTGGTACCAGTTGAGACCTGATTTGTGACCCAGTATGTGATCTATTCTGGAGAATGTTCCATGGACACTAGAGAAGAATGTGTATTCTGTTGCTTTGGGATGGAATATTCTGAATATATCTCTGAAGTCCATCTGGTCCAGTGTATCATTTAAAGCCTTTATTTCCTTGTTGATCTTTTGCTTAGATGATCTGTCCATTTCTGTGAGGGAGGTGTTAAAGTCCCCTACTATTATTGTATTGTTGTCGATGTGTTTCTTTGCTTTTGTTATTAATTGGCTTATATAATTGGCTGCTCCCATGTTAGGGGCATAGATATTTACAATTCTTAGATCTTCTTGTTAGATGGACCCTTTAAGTAGGATATAGTCTCTTCCTCATCTCTTTGGTTTAAAATCTAATTTGTCTGATATAAGGATTGCCACCCCAGCTTTCTTTTGGTGTCCATTAGCATGGTAAATTGTTTTCCACCCCCTCACTTTCAATCTGGAGGTGTCTTTGGGTCTAAAATGAGACTCTTGCAGACAGCATATCAATGGGTCTTATTTTTTTTATCCAATCTGATACCCTGTGTCTTTTGATTGGGGTGTTTAACCCATTTACATTCAGGGTAACTACTGAAAGATATGAATTTAGTGCCATTGTATTGCCTGTAAGGTGACTGTTACTGTATATTGTCTCTGTTCCTTTCAGGTCTATGTTACTTTTAGGCTCTCTCTTTGCTTAGAGGACCCCTTTCAATATTTCTTATAGGGCTGGTTTCATGTTTCCAAATTCCTTTCGTTTTCGTTTGTCCTGGAATCTTTTTATCTCTCCTTCTATTTTCAATGACAGCCTAGCTGGATATAGTATTCTTGGCTGCATGTTTTTCTCGTTTAGTGCCCTGAATATATCATGCTAGTCCTTTCTGGCCTGCCAGGTCTCTGCGGATAGGTCTCTCGCCAATCTAATGTTTCTACCATTGTAGGTTACAGATCTCTTGTCCCAAGCTGCTTTCAGGATTTTCTCTTTGTCTCTGAGACTTGTAAGTTTTACTATTAGATGTCAAGGTGTTGACCTATTTTTATTGATTTTGAGGGGGGTTCTCTGTGCCTCCTGGATTTTAATGCCTGTTTCCTTCCCCAAATTAGGGAAGTTCTCTGCTATAATTTGCTCCAATATACCTTCTGACCCTCTTTCTCTTTTTTCTTCTTCTGGGATCCCAATTATTCTAATATTGTTTCATCTTATGGTATCACTTATCTCTTGAAGTCTCCCCTCGTGATCCAGTAGTTGTTTATCTCTCTTTTTCTCAGCTTCTTTATTCTCCATCATTTGGTCTTCTGTATCATTAAATCTCTCTTCTGTCTCATTTATCCTAGCAGTTAGAGCCCATTTTTGATTGCACCTCATTAACAGCCTTTTTGATTTCAACTTGGTTAGATTTTAGTTCTTTTATTTCTCCAGAAAGGGATTCTCTAGTACCTTCTATGCTTTTTTCAAGCCCAGCTAGTATCTTTATAATCATCATTCTGAACTCTAGGTTCCAACATCTTACTAATATCTGTATTGATTAGGTCCCTGGCAATTGGTACTGACTCTTTTTCTTTTTTTTGAGGTGAGTTTTTCCATCTTGTCATTTTGTCCAGAGAAGAACAGATGAATGACAGAATAAAATGCTAAAAGGGTAATGACGACCCCAGAAAAATATACAGTAAACAAATCAGAAGAGATCTGAAACCGGAGGGGTGGTTGGGCGAGAATATGATAAGGCTGGTGAATAGAACAGAGCCACACACTAGATTTGGGTGTATTGTGGTCTGTTAGAAGAAACTGCCTCCCAAAATTTTAAAGAAAGAAAAACATATATATACAAAAATAAGGGTAAATACAATGAAGGGATGGAATATGACTGTAAAGATGAAAATTAAAGAAGATTTTAAAAGAGGAATTGATGAGATAAGAAGCTGGTTGGCAAAAGAAAGAAAAAAAATTTAAAAAAAAGAGAGAGAGAATGTGATCAGGCAGGAGACTAGAACAAAGCCATATACTAGATTTAGGGTATATTTTGGTCTGTTATAAGAAGCTGTGTCCCAAAACTTTAAGGAAAGAAAAACTTATATATATACAAAAAATAAGATTAAATACAATGAAGGGATAGAATATGACTGTAAAAATGCAAATTAAAAAAGATTTTAAAAAAGGGATTGTTAAGATGTTGGTTGAAAAAGGAAAGAAGAAAAATTCAACTAAAAAAATAGAAAAAGAAAAAATAAAGAAAATTTAAAAAATTAACTTTGAAAGACTAAAGAATCATGGGGAAAAAAGCCATGAATTCTATGTGCTGTATTCCCCTAGCACTGGAGTTTTGCAGTTCTCATTGATCAGTAAACTTGGTCTTGACTGGATGTTCTTGCTGATCTTCTGGGGGAGGGGCCTGCTGTAGTGATTCTCAGATGTCTTTGCCCCAGGCGGAATTGCACTGCCCTTGCCAGGGGCCAGACTAAGTAATCTGCTCGGGTTTGCTCTCGGTAGCTTTTGTTCCCCGAAAGCTTTCTGTACAGCTTTAGAGGATGAAACTGAAAATGGCAGCCTCCCAATCTCTCGCCCCAGAGGAGCCGAGAGCTTGGAGCTCCACTCCTCAGTGGTCCCTCAGAGAAAAGCAATCAATCACTCCTGTTTCCCTGGTCCCCAGCTGCACTCTGTGCTCATCGGCTTGTGACCAAGCGTTTCTATCTCTGGCACATGATCCCGTTTGGAGTCTTCAAACCCAGCAGATTACTGTGGTGAGCGCCCATGCTGCTCCTCCTGCGGGAGGAAGGGGAGTCTCCCCGGATCTGCCCTTTGTTGGGTCCCTGCTCAAAGAGCAGGGGCCTGACTGTGCCATGGATCACGGTTTTTGGCAACCCCAAGCTGAGAGCTCACTCCTCGGCTCCGTCTTTGCAGCTGGCTTCCCTGCTCAAATACCTGGGAGCTCTGCCGCACTCAGGCACCCCGTCTTTCTTTGACCCCGAGGGTCCTGAGACCACACTGTCCCAGCGAGGGTTCCACTCCCCGCTTAGCTGCTGGAGTGATGTCCCTCACTGGAGCAGACTTCTAAAAGTTCTGATTTTGTGCTCCGCTGCTCTATCACTTGCTGGTAGCCGGCTGACGGAGGCTCCCTCCCCACACGGTCTATCTTCCCAAATATTGACTCGGATTCACTTCTCCACATGTCCTACCTTTCAGTAAGTGGTAGACTTTCTGTTCATAGAATTGCTGCTATTCTTTTCTTCTATCTCCTGTTGAGTTTGTAAGTGTTCAGAATGGTTTGATAACTATCTAACTGAATTCCTGGAACCAGACGAAATTTAGGTCTCTTACTCCTCCACCATCTTGCTCCTCCTCCCCCCAAAATAAATGCTCCCCCAAGAAACTTCTAATCATGAGTGCTAAAAACTACAAACCATTCTTTGTCTCTTCTATTGTACTCTAACTAGAATGAAATAGAGAAAGAGAGAAAGAAAAGGAGCCGAAGTAACCATCTGGATAACCAATGTTTGAATAATTAAGAACTGGCAAAAGAGTATCTACAAGAATTATAAGAGGTTTGAAGTGACCCAAAGATTTGAATATTTCAATTCTCTGCCAAAAGTCACCAGAATCAGTGAAAACAAAGGACCTGTCAAAAAGAAGCTCTATAGTTTTATAAATAGAACTCTTACATAAATATATCATGCTAACAATGATGATACCCTGCTGAGACAACTGAGACCACAATTTAATTTTAGTATCATCTAAATTTTAGTAGAACATATTTTTTAAAATTTTTTCCCTGACAGTTATTATTTAATAAACATCAGAAAAAAATTACTTCATCTTTTTTGTTTTTTGAATGTCTTTTAATGTCTTTTTGTTTTTTGTTTTTTGAATGTCTTTTAATATTAACTATTTAAAATTTAGTCTTAGTCTTAAGCAATTGTTAAATTTACTAACTGATGTAAAAATTACCAGTTGGGGGGTGCCTGGGTGGCTCAGTCGGTTAACCGTCTGTCTTTGGCTGGAGTCCCAGGATCAAGTCCCGCATCGGGCTCCCTGCTCAGTGGGGAGTCTGCTTCTCCCTCTGACCGTCCCCTCTCTGGTGCTTTCTCTCTCTCTCTCTCTCTCTCAAATAAATAAATAATCTTTAAAAAAAAATTACCAGTTGGTTTGAAATTAACATCTTCATCCATCGTTATCAAGTCCAGAGATGATAAATCATTCAGATTCTTCAAACATAATTCTGTCCAATAATAAACATATTTTTATTTTATTAAGATAAGGAAGCAGCACGAAATAGAGTTTATAATCAAATATGCTAAAGTTCTGTTTCTATATATTTGCTGTGGGAAAAACTATAGTCGCTAATTAAGTGGTAAGGAAATATTCATTAAATAAAAGAGCCAGTTAATAGGCTAAAAAGATTTTCTAGTAGTAACAATAATATAAATTATCAAAATAAGTTATGAAATAACATTTACAACTTGGAACTTGTTATTTTAAATGAGGATATTTGTATTTCCTCATTTAATTCTCATAATAACACAACAAGGTAGGTACTAATATTATTTCATATACAAGTTAGGAAACAAAGAAATAGAGAAGCTAGGTTACTTGCTCCAGGTCTATGTAACCACCCTGCTATCTGATATCCAATGTGGCCTGGTTTTCTTTTTTTTTTTTTTTAACTTTTATCAAAGATATATACACACAAAGTATATTCAAATAAATCTACAAAGATTCTTCAAAAAACACCAGTCTTTTCCCTCCTCTGAGTTTGCCACCTCTTGAGGCAACCACTTGTGACTATTTCAGCTGATGCTTTAGTACTTACTTTAGCATCTCTAACATGCTACTATTGCTACCTGGAAGGAACCTCTGAACAGGAAGTAATGCAAGTTCAGCTCTCACTGACTGATGAAAATCAGAGCAATTATAGTAGCCTGCTGCCCACAGTGCTCCCATTGTTCTATGCTATAAAGCCCAGAAGATTGAAGGTAATTCAGAGCAGGGAGTGGGAATGCCACAACCTGTTCAATCTTAAATAAAGGAGCCACTCACAAAAACACAGCCCTTAAAAGGCAAAATTCTTTGAGAAATAACTTCAGTTTAAGCAACATTGCTTAGGCAGCTTGATAAAGTTTTAAGTATTTGGTTAAGTAAGGCTTTTGAAGTTTTTGCCAATTTTCTTAATTACCCACTATTAACACGCAATAAGTTAATCAGTCAAAGAAGAATACTTACTACATTATATGCTGGGCACTATTCTAAGCTTTAGGTTTACAGCAATAAGCAAGACAAGGTTTCTTCTCTACAGAACTTATATTTTATGGAAGAAAACAGTACAGAATTTAATAATAAATAATAAAGTTTCAGGCATTGAAAGGTACTATGAAAGAAAATAAAGCTGAGAGAAAGGACCTAGAAAATAAGAATTCTTTAGGTTTTAACTTTTTATGTATTTCTGATATAAAGCTATGTAATATCTGATACAGTAAGGATATATTCATCCTAATTTTCAACATAAGCATGTCACCTTTCCAAGAAAAGGAAAACAGCAATAATATCATGGAAATTGTTTTACCATCCTCTCTGAAGAGGTAGATTTAATTAAGGTAGTCCAAGAAGGCCTCTCTGAGGAGTTAATATTTGATCAAAGATCTGAATGAAATGAAGGTGGAGACCACAAGTAAAATATGTGAGAAGTGTTCTAGGAATAAGGAAAAGAATGGAAGGACCTGATGTGGAAACAAGTTTGGTGTTTTAGGAACAGCAAGAGATCCGATTTAGAAACAACAGAATGAAAGGGGGGGGAAATGACAAGAGATGAAGCCAGAGAAATAGGCAAGGAGATATCAAGGTGGATTTGTGGGCTCTGGTGAAAGTTTGCATTTTATTCTAAGAGTGATAAGGGAACTACTGGTGGATCCTGAGCAAGAAAGTATAACCAAATTTAGAAATGCTAAGGATCCTTCCTAAGAGATTTAAAGCAGATCTCCAGGGATACCAAAATATTATATTCAGTTATATAATAAACTTGGCTATTCTTTATAGGTAAAACTTAGCTACCCTATAATGACTAAAGATAAGGCAAATACGAACTGTGGTTCTGCTAATTTAACAAAAGTTAAATCATTACAATTATCAGAATATAGCAAGACTATATTGGACTGTCTTGGTGTATTTGATCATTATGACCAAAAAATATGTTTTAAAAACTCCATTATAAAATTGATCAGTAAATAAAGGATAATACAACTATTTTATAGATCTGTTTCTCAGTAGCACCATTATGAATATATGCTATTGCTTAGCACCTTGCTTCAGCAATATATTTATTCTTTAATCAAGATAATTTTACTGCTTCATCCTTATCTCTGCATTTTAATATGCCATATGTGTATATCCAAGTAGAGAATAAATTAAAATTTGCTAAATATTTTCAGATCTAACCAAGTGAGGGTCTAGACTAGGAGTGCTGCTCTGTAGATGGATGTCTACTCCTTGATCCTTTTTTTCCCCCCTTTAAAGTTATCTTTGTACCCAATGTGAGGCTCTGGTGCTCAAACTGACAACCCCAAGATCAAGGGTTGCATGCTCTACCAATTGAGACAGTGAGGTACCCCAAAATTGGCTAAATATTTTTAGTGGATCTAAAATTTTCTCTTTCACCGAAAGAGAATCAATACAAAGAAGAACTGATAATTTCTAACCTAATAAATGCTCAATAATTTTTTGATATTTGAAAAGACAGGTAATGAAGTATTAATTAATTGAAAAATTAAGCTGGGATTTGATGGGAATATATCATTAATTAGCACAGATTAGGATAAGAAGCCCATAATCAAGGTAGGCTTATATATTCAAGTAATTACTAGAAAAATGAAGAGTTGTATATCTATAGGCAATATTTTCAAAGATGAGGGTCATTTTTAAAATAAAAACAAAGTTAACATATTATAAAAAGGAAGATATTCTGATAGAATTAAAAAATTCATTAATTCAGTAAAAAAGCATATGTGCTAAACTTTATTTGCATGTGAAAAAGGAATACTTCATATATTTTTTTCTGGAAACAAGTTTACTTTTTTAAGAAATAATTTACCAAAGAGTATTCTTACTTTCACACTAACTGACCTTTTTCATTAAAATTTATAAAATATAATTTTTACAAGGAAATGCATCTAACCTTGTAATTTTGCTTCAATTCCATCTTTGTTCAATCCAGATGCAAAACCTGTAAAAGTTATGAAAATTCATAAAAAATTAAAATAGAAAGGACTTAACTCATTTTTATAGGCTCAGTTTATACCCGAGTTAACTAGAAAAGAGTAGTCTAACTTAATTTTAAATAGGGGGAAAAATAGCTTAATGAGTTAAAACAAGGCTTAGCTATCTATAGAAAATAACCACTGCTATAAAATCCTTTCAATATCAATTGGCTATCTTTTGCTTTTTTTACTGTACAACCATGACCATGCATACTGTATTTTTTCCCCTTGGAGATCTTAAAGTTTTGAACCTGTGTACATTAGAATAGTATTGTAACAAATCAGGTTTTAATTTGATATAATTTGATATTCAGCAATTCCAAGTATTTTTACTTTATAACTGTACCATATGAAAGAACCTTCTAGAAGCAATATAACCATATGTGTGTTAGCTTTAGAAGCAGGATGCAAACTCCAGCAGCAACAGCAGTACTATATCCTTTGATTTGAACACTAGTTCAGACAAAATTTAAGAATTTTTTTTACTTTACCTTTTAAAAAATAATTTTAGTCACTTTTATTATTTTTATTTGAGTTAATTTTTTTTAAAAGATCTATTTTTAATGGTGATTTCAAACCTTATTAAAAGACTGGAAGTAAAACAGATAAAGATTTCTCATATTTGTCTACTCTTGCCTCTAATGTATTTATGAATATTATTTTTTATTTCTGTTACCTATTAGTGTCTGTAATCTATTCTGTGACTTAATAGTATAAATATAGATTCAACTGGCTTGAAACATTTACTACTTTTTCAAATCAAGTAACAAACCATAATGAGATGGATTTTTCAAGGCTCTGATGTAAAGCAAAGTTGATCGTATCCATTCCAAAGCAATATTCACATCTGTGATGGTATGTAACACTATCTCTGCATTTAAATGTTCAATAAGATGTCTGTGTAAACTAGTAGAAAAAAACCCAAAACCTTTGTATTAGTAATATGTATTTCAATGCCATAACCTTATTTTTTAAACTGCAATAATATTTTGAATAATTCAACTGAATATAATTGAATAATATACTCATTGCTATATTATTAATTCATGAAAAATAACTTAATTTTCAAAAATATAAGAGAAAACCATAAAAATCAGTTCAACTGTTAAAAAATTATAGATTTTTCTCTATCCCATGGCTCCAGAAGACATTATTACTTAAAAAGAGTGAGAGTGAATATTCTCTCAGAGTATTACAATCATATGCTTTACTAAAAGCTTCCAGATTGCCTATCTCTCTATTATTAAACAAATTTTAAAGATGTAAAGAGATGTGAAAATTATAGTCTTATTACTAATTTGGCCTTTTATAACAAGGATACATGCCACCACATGCTAGGAAACTACTGAATAAAAATATTACGCTATCCTTTTTTTTTAACTATTAAATTTCTTAAAAGGACACAAACTTTCTACTTAGATTACTGAAAAGTTTCAAGACAATGGCCTTAGAAAATCTCCTAATCAAATTTCCTTTTAATATGTGAAAAGGAAAAATATAAGTGGTATTAACAACTTTTTAGAATATTTTCTGTATTACCTGCTTTCTACAGTGTCACTACAAGCTAACATCTGAATATACTTCTCTTTTGTACTTAACCGAGTCATAATAACTGCAGTAGCTGTAGTATCAAACTGGAAAAAAAATAAACACAGAGAAATGTAGTAAAAAAGAGTACATGTTGGCACCAGTCCTCTTCAAGAACTCATGAGTTTCATTTTATATTAAACAGTCCCTGACTTAAACAACAGGTCAAAAATGCCTTAAAACTGTTTCTGAATTTGAATGTTCACTGAAAATTTAATTAAAAACCTTCCAAGAGTATAGATGTAAAAATATTACTTTGGTTTCAATGTAACATAATTTTGGTATTAGTAAAATCAAAACAAACTTAGGCACCTGGATAAAAGTTATAAGATTGGTGTAGTTTACATATAATCTAATTGATCTTATAAAAACTATGACTTATATAACATAATATTTTGACTTCTTTGAAAAGATACTCTTCCTAAATGTTCCCTAACTATATGAATGACTTCTTTATTTGAGTATTTGCTAAAGGTAGGACATGTTTTGTAATGTATATGGGCTAATTTTTAATTGTCACAATACCTGGGGACCACTATTGGCATTTTGTGCTAAGACTCGGGGATGCTACACATTCTGCAATGTATGACAGTCCTACACAATGAAAAACTGTCCCATCTAAAATACAAATAGCATCCCCATTCAGAACAAAAAACAAAAACCAAAAAAACCTCAAAACCAAAAAAAAAAAAAAAAACCAAAAAATTTTTGACAGTATATACACATTTATCAGCCCAACCATCAGCCAAGGGAAACTCAGAGGGAGTAGAGGCAGCATGTCTCCTTTGGTGAGACTTGTTTTACTTCTATGTCTCCATTAAAGTAGATTTCCTGTTGCACTTATTTTTAAACCTAATCTGAATATGAAACGTTAATCTCCTGTTTAACAAAAAGTACACAAAAAACAGTTTTTGCTTTTTACCTTATTTTAAAACAAGTTACAAAAATAAAATATTGTCACTTACTTGAGGTCGACCAGCTCTACCAATCATCTGTAGAATATCTGTTTCACTATACTCTTCAAACATTCCTCCAGCATAATGCATCGTAGATTTTATAACTACTAGGTGAGCAGGCAAATTTACTCCCATAGCTAAAGTACTGGTAGTAACTGCATCAGATTAAGAAATAATAGTTTCAAGCCATATAATTTTATTGCCTCAGGTAGACATCATTTTATAAAATATATATTCTTATAAATATAATAAAAATTCATACATAGGGAACTTAGGAAAAACAAAGAGGAAAAGAACATTACAGTGTAAAATAATAACACATCTTAAAACCAAAAAACTATTAAATTCTTACTTTTCAGGTAGCACTATTCAGTAGCATGATAAAGAACTAAAACTGCCAGAGTTTACTGTAGCATGTATATGCATGGGTAATTACATAATTTTAGATTCTTGGAAGAAAAGCAGAAATAAGTCAGAATACTTGAGCTTTTTCTTTTTTTCTCTTAACAGATAAATAGTTTTCCAAAATATAATAGCCACAAGAATATGTTTTACTTACAAAGAACTGGTAGATCTCCAACAGTGAAAGCTCCTTCAACTACTTTTCTATCTAACAGCTCCATACCAGCATGATGATAAGCAACACCATGTATTAAGATATCTATAATAAAAATATATAATCTGTTATATGCTGTTAATATTTCATCCATAATTGATTTCTTTTATGTGTAGCTGAAAATGCTATTCAAAAATAATCTCTAAACTTACCTCTCAGTTTTGAATCTCTTACGGAATATGCACACTTCTGTAACCTATTTTAAAAATACCATAAAACTTTAAGAGTTATTCCATTAACATAAAAACTCTTAGTTTATTAATCATTTTGAAGCTATAGATATCAAAACGTTTTCACAATATCATTGTTTGAAAATCACCTTTAAGAAGTACAGAATATCTAACTTTCATATTCAGAAGTCCCTAAACTTACAACTCAGCAAAACAAGAAACAATTTAAAAATGGGCAAAGGACCTAAAAAACATTTTTCCAGTAAAGTTATACAAATGGCCAACAATACATGGAAAGATGCTCCACATCACTAATCATCAGGGACAAATGAAAGTCAAAACTACAATGAGGTATCACCTCACACCTGTTGAATGGCTAGTATTAAAATGACAGGAGATAACAAATGCTGGTGAGGATGTAGAGAAAAGAGAGCCCGTGTGCACTGTTGGTGGGAATAGTAAACTAATACGGCGACTATGGAAAACAATATGAAGATTCCTCAAAAAACTAAATATAGAACTACCACATCATCCAGCAATTCCACTTCTGGATTATATCCAAAGGAAACAAAATCATATCTCAAAGAGATACCTGTACTCCTATGTTGACTGCAAAATTATTCAGAATAGCCAACATATAGAAACAACTTAAGTGTCTGAGACAGATGAATGGACAAAGAACATTTGATATACACACACAAACACACACACACGCACAATGGAATATTATTCAGTCTTAAGAAAGAAGGAAATTCTGCCTTTTTCGACAACATGGATGAAGCTAGCGGGCATTGTGCTAAGTGAAATTAGCCAAAATGGTAATAATATGGTAATATAGATAGTCGATGCCCATATTATCCCACCCTGATTAAGAAATTGAAACTGACAGAAGTAATGTGCCCAGTGGTACCCAGCTAGTAAAGTGGCAGCACTGCAATCCAAATCATGGTCTCTAACTTAATGCTCTTTTTTTTTTTCTTTTTAAGATTTATTTATTTATTTGAGAGAGAGAGAGAACAGTGTGGGGCAGGCAGGAGAGAGGGAGAATCCTAAGCAGACTCGGAGCCTGACGGGGGCTCCATCCCACGACCCCAAGATCATGACCTGAGCTAAAACCAAGAGTCGGTTGCTCAACAGCCTGCACCATCCAGGAGCCTCTCATGTTGTTTCTAATACCAGCATTTCATTCCTGGAAAAACAGGAATAAAAATGGGGGGAAAAGGGGGGGAAAAAAAGGGAGAGACAAAGAGTGAAAAAAGAATTGAAAGACAAGAGAAATTTTCCTATCAAAAACTAATGATGTAATGTACAATGATTAACATAACATAATAAAATAAAATTAAAAAACCTTATAAGAATACTGTGTGGTGTCAAAGTGGTGAAATAATCCATGGGGGAAAGGTGATACTAAAATTATGGTTATGAAGTGCTTTTTGTCCTTCTGTTCTGCAGTTAAACTTAGATTTGTGTCATGCTTTATATTTCTCATACCTTTCGTGATAAAATATATTAGAAAGTATTCCAATCATCAGAAAAAAAAAAAAGAAATTTTCCTTGAGTAACTAGGTAAAGAGTGGGAAGTAAGAAAAGGAGAAACATGATATATGCTTCTGTGTACGAAAATGATTATCTAAAACAAAATTAGCTAATTTGGGTGCAGCAGACAACAGGGTAAAAGGGAAAGGATGCAATGGAAATTAGTTTTAAGGATGCACACAGGTTAGCTATTTCAGTTCCTTACTCTTATAGATAGGTTCAGGTTCAAAATACTAATTATTAAGTACTCATCTTGGGAGGTCATATAACCATTCCATATGAATTCTATAAGTTTTAAAAAATTTCCTTCAGAGTTAGTTTTTGAGCAAGAAAATAAGCCTCATTGCTTGACAACCACATCTGTTTCTGACTAAAAGTCACATGGCCCAACTTGATCAACTAGTTTATTCACCCACGTAGAAAAGTTCCAAATTACTCTTTGCTACTTACAGTCTCCTTACTCTATAGCTACACTTTATTTTAAAAATTCCAGTTTACATTTATACTATTACTAGTTTTATAATGACCTGGTCAATTGGTTTTTGAAACCCCATCTTTGCTAAAAACATTTAGAAAATTAATAATCAAGAATGCTAAAAAACCAAGTGCAGCTGGTATGGAAACTATCAATTGTGATTTGATTATAGAAAAGGATTTTGCCAGCAAAATGACCTAATGGATGCATACATTCTCCCAATATGCTTGATCATTGCCCATAAGTAGCCAAGAAGTTTTCTGGATTAAAACCAAAGGCTCAGACCAGGTGATTAAAATAAAAACTTAAAAAAAAAAGCTTGGGAAACATTCTTATTATGAGAATACTACCAATTAACTTCTTGAAGTTAACTAAGACATTCCAAAATATAGAAATATTTTGTTATTTGAATGCATGATACAAAGAAGAGGTATTTAATAAAAAGCTAAAGAAACCAGAGTACAAAATAGCTGAACATGTTAGATTGAGAAACCATAGTAACAGAACCTGGGGCTTGAATAGCAAAAAGAAGTCTTGTAGTAATTGTTAGAACATGAGTGGTCAAAGGGGAATTGAGGTAAGCATCAGTCTCTTTTCCTGGTCTACACCAACTCAAAATGGCATTCCATTCCTTTTCACTCAATATATCCAAAACAGAATCATGGTTCTTTCTCTCAAACTAACTCCTCTTCCAGTGTTCGCCCATCTAAATTATACAACACTCCCTGGTTGCTCATGGCAGAAACCTATCACTGACACCTCTCTCACCTTCCTCCACATAGGCAAACAATTACCAAGTCCTGTTTATTCTTACTTCTAATTATATCTTAAATATATCATTTTATCTCCATCAACACTGCCACCTCCTTAGTTCAAATCACTATTAGTTTCTAATAGTTTGAGATGCTCATACATATGCAATTGGAGATGTCAGTTAGGCATGGACTATAGACTAGAGTTCAGAATGGAGTTATAAATTTAGGAACTCACAGACATATATAAATATGAGCATACATATATTCTTTGAACCCATGTGATAGATACAAATACCCAGGAGTGTGGAATTAGAAAGAATGAACCTTGGAAAGAACCTCTAGAATGTCAACACTTCAGAGTTGGGTAGAAGAGGTGAAAAGAGGATTGAGAATGAGCAGCCAGCAAAGTAGGAAGAAACTTGGTAGAGGATGATCTCGGAAGCACAGAGTCCAGAGTTTTTAAATAAGGTGGGAGGGATCAAATGTATTAGAAGCTCCTGAGAGATCAACAGCAAGTTTAGCTTTAGTGAAAGATTACAACAGATGCCAAATTCAAAGTGGATTAAAAAAAAAAAATGAAGACAGCAATATGAATAACCTTTCAAGAAACATGGCTATGAAATAAAGAAGACAGGATCATAATGTCACTAAGATTCACTCTCACTTAATCTTCCAAATTACTATTATCTTTAATTTATAGATGAGGAAACTAAGGCTTAGAGAGGCTGATTAACTTGAAAAGGTGAAGGAAAAAAACCTAGTTTTCTCATCTCATCTAGATAATCCCTAAAAGTCTTCCTATCTCCAATAACAAAAAAGAAAAAATATACCTCTGTTTCTGTTCCACAGCCATAATAAATTTAGCATCTTTCACAAGAACAGAAGCAGCCTGTTGTACACCTTTTCTTGTTGCACAAAACTGAAAATAAATGAGTAATTCTTGGATTAATCATATTAAAAGCTGAACATCACACTCAAAAATAAGCAAGTAACAATCCATACCACAAGTGTGGGTTTCTGATCAGAGTATGTTTGTATAACACTGGCAATTTTGTAGTTGAGGGTTAAATCAAACTTAAATTCGGTTTGGTTACTTCTGCAGGGAAATCCAAGGACCACTTTCCGAAGTTTCACTGGCCTGTGTTTCTCATCCATTTTCAGACATACCGCAGGTCTTTCACCATCTGAAAGCCATTCTGCAATCTTTAAATAACAGAAACATACATTAAAAGTTTTTTCTAGTCAAGTTTTATGGCTAAACATAACCAAATAATAGACCACTTTTAAAGAGAAGGTATAAAAATAATTAGGCTGTCTTTGTCAGTATTACATATTCCAGTGACACTATTCTATTTATATATTGGTAGGTATTATCAGTAGCAGTATTTTAAGATTAGTCCCACTCTTCAACATGGTAAACTCCCAATTAATTATTATTTTGTTTTATTTTCCTTCCCAAGAGTCCAAAATAAAATTAAAATTGATTTTGGCAGAGAAACTGAATTTCTCACTATCATTATAACCTTCCTATTTTTCAGAACTATGCCTAGATATGCATGACAGATCTTTTGAGTTGTGCTAAATAATAGCCAAAGAGTAGCAAAGTAATGGTTGGCTTAGATTGGCAAGGGTTGACAATTTTTAAACAAAGAGCAAATAAACACTTGAGAGATGGCAGTGCCGAAAGCACATTTCAGACTCAATGCCTGAGTCACTTGTTAATTTCTGAAGCTATGGTGAGCAATCCTTATCTTCATATAACCTGGTTAGTAATTAGGCTTCATGCCTGCTCTGAAACTGACCATTGCTTTGACAGGAAGATGGATTAATGAGTTTTTAGTTACAGGGGAAGGAAATATTAAAACATTTTCAAGGCTACCATGTGTACAAAAAAGATCACACAAGAATTTAATTTGAAAGGGGAAGAAGGCCAAGAGTGAAGACCTTAATTTAGGAGAAAATTGAGAAAGAAGACTTGTACAAAGAGACAGGAAAGTAGCATTCACAGATGTAGTGATTATCACAAAGGGCAAAAGAATTTCAAGAATTACAGAGTACTGATATTTAATGACAGCTTACAAATCAATAAGAAAAGTTTATTATCCCAATGTGAAAAAAAGGGTAAAGAACATGACCTGACAAGGTACAAAAAAAGAACTTAAAGTAATTGATATATTAAAAATATTTACTTCAACATGATGCCCCCAGCTTTGTTTTTCTTTTTCAACATTTCCTTGGCAATTCAGGTTCTTTTCTGGTTCCATACAAATTTTAGGATTGTTTGTTCCAGCTCTTTGAAAAATGCCATTGGTATTAGGATCGGGTTGGCATTCAAAGTATTGACTGCTCTGGGCAGCATAGACATTTTAACAATGTTTAGTCCTCCAATCCATGAGCATGGAATGTTTTTCCATCTTTTTGTGTCTTCTTCAATTTCCTTCATAACTGTTCTGTAGTTTCTAGAGTACAGATCCTTTACCTCTTTAGTTAGGTTTATTCCAAAGTACCTTATGGTTTTTAGTGCTATTGTAAATGGAATCAATTCCCTAATTTCTCTTTCTACAATTACATTGTTAGTGTATAGAAAAGCAACTGATTTCTGTGCATTGATTTTGTATCCTGCCATGTTACTGAATTGCTATATGAGTTCTAGTAATTTGGGGGTGGAGTCTTTTGGGTTTTCCACATAAAGTATCACATTGCCTGATTTCAAGCTATATTACAAAGCTGTGATCACCAAGACAGCATGGTACTGGCACAAAAACAAATAGAGAGCCCAGATATGGACCCTCAACTCTATGGTCAACTAATCTTCAACAAAGCAGGAAAAATGTCCAATGGAAAAAAGACAGTCTCTTCAATAAATGATGCTGGGAAAATTGAACAGCTATATACAAAAGAATGAAACTCGACTATTCTCTTACACCATACACAAAGATAAACTCAAAATGGATGAAAGACCTCAATGTGAGACAGGAATCCATCAAAATCCTAGAGGAGAACATAGGCAGTAACCTCTTTGACATCAGACATAGCACCTTCTTTCAAGACACGTCTCCAAAGGCAAAGGAAACAAAAGGGAAAATGAACTTTTGGGACTTCATCAAGATAAAAAGCTTCTGCACAGCAAAGGAAACAGTCAACAAAACAAAGAGGCAACCCACAGGATGGGAAAAGATATTTGTAAATGACATAACAGACAAAGGTTTGGTATCTATGCTCTATAAAGAACTTCTCAAACTCAGCACCCAAAAAACAAATAATCCAGTCAAGAAATGGGCAGAAGACATGAACAGACATTTCTCCAAGGCAGACATATGAATGGCTAACAGACACATGAAAAAAATGTTCAACATCATTAGCCATCAGGGAAATTCAAATCAAAACCACACTGAGATACTACCTTACACCCAGTTAGAATGGCAAAAATTAACAAGACAGGAAACAACAAATGTTGGAGAGGATGTGAAGAAAAGGGAACCCTCTTACACTGTTGGTGGGAATGCAAACTGGTGGAGCCACTCTGGAAAACAGTATGGAGGTTCCTCAAAAAGTTAAAAATAGAGCTACCCTATGGCCCAGCAATTGCACTACTGGGTATTTACCCCAAAGATACAGATGTAGTGAGAAGAAGGGGCACATGCACCCCAATGTTCATAGCAGCAATGTCCACAATAGCCAAACTGTGGAAGGAGCCAAGATGCCCTTCAACAGACGAATGGTTACTCAGCCATCAAAAAGAATGAATATCCATCATTTGCATCAACATGGATGGAACTGGAGGGGATTATGCTAAGTGAAATAAGTCAAGCAGAGAAAGTAAATTATCATATGGCTTCACTTATATGTGGAAGGGCAGAGGGAAGAGGGGAAGAAGACTATCCACTGAGCAAAGAGCCTGGATTGCAGGACCAGGGATCATGACCTGAGCCAAAGGCAGACGCTTAACCAACTGAGCCACTCAGGCACCCTGAAAACTATTTAAATGTAATAATAACAATAATTTATTATAATATCCAGTGCTAGAATACAGAGAAATGGCTGATGGTGGAAGTATACATGACTATACCATTTTATGAAAGCACTGTTTCCTTAGAGTTTTATAGATCCTTTGACTCAGTTATTCCATTCTAGAAGTTCATCCTAGAGAAATAATCATGTTTTCAAAGATGTATTAACTTTAGCACCATTTACAACAGCAAAAATGGAAATAATCTTCTATCATTAAAGCATTAGATAAATAAATTATAATAAAACCACAAAAAGTATATTAAAGAAGAATTTCTAATGACATGGAAATGTCTGTAGGTGACATGCAAGTCATAAAAGAGCACGCATAGTGATTCCACCTATACATCTGGAAAGACAAACACTGGGTTTCTGTTGATTATATATACTTAAAAATTTTCTCTATTATTCTTGAATATGAACAAGCTGTTAACTTAAGAACTGGAAAATGAATAATTTTGCCAAATTAAAGATAAATCAGGCAAAATTTTCCATTGGATTAGACAATATAGGAACTATTTGTGAAATTTCTAAGTAGTAGGAGAAAAAAGTCATACTATAGTAGGCTGAGAAGGAAATAAGAGTGAGGAACAATGAAACCATACTATTTTTCAAGAAGTTTGCCCAAACAATGAAAAAAAAATTAGGACAAGTATAATCCTATGTACAATTATTTCTTTACCTGTCTGTGTACCCCATTAACCATGAGATCCTCCTCAAGGGCAGGGTCTATATGTTTTCACTTTTGTATCTATTATTAGTGCTTTCCATAATGCCAGTCACATAGAATGTGAAAAGGTGGGTGGTAATCACCTAAGCAATTATTTTTATTCTCCACCATACTTTGCTATACAACTACAGTCAGCTGATTACAACAACCATAACAAATTACTAGTCATAATGAGGTACCTGAAACCCATAAAAACCAAGACATTTAGATACTAGTAAACAACAGACTTATACCAAAAATGTTTCATTAAACCAAATCAACCAAATATTAAGGCCTAATACTGCCATACCTATGAAATCTAACCATAATTTTCTATAACATACTTTCCTACTAAATCGGTTATGGGATTTACAGAAAAAAACCCTCGCTTTCCTCTAAGATTAAAATGACAAAATATTTCACTAGTCATAAAAAAATCTGATAGACTGAAATTCTAACTTACATCCTCAGCATTTGGAATTGTTGCAGATACAGCTACAAATCTCATTGGAATAACTGTGCTGCTATTTTCAGAAGTAGGAGATAAAGACTGTACAGTTTTCATTCTGCTAACTACAACTTCAAGAGTTGGTCCACGATTTTCATCTTTTACAACATGTACCTAAGAAAGAAATCAAGAAAAAAAATGATTAACTATAAAAATAAAAAACTAATCAATTAAAATCCATAATAATATTAACACTCTTAAGAAAATAAGCCTTTCCACTTGAAGGGATAAAACAAACATATAGTTTGGTTGAAAATGCCTTGTTTCTTTCTATCCATTCCAATCATCATTTTATGTTTATCTCTGAAAATGAGTAATGTGTTCACTACCTCATCAATGAGAAACAGTCTAACCAGCTTGACCAAAGAGTTGTCTCTCCATTTTCTAGTCATGCTATCCCATTTTTCCTAAAGAAAAAATGCATGTGGTTTAACATAATAAGAAATTATAATAAATGTTATTAAGATATCAATAAAAATCTTAACATGATACAAACAACAGGCAATATTTTAATTCACATCTTAAAAGTATTCTGAAAAAGATTTAAAGATTAAAAACATTTTAAAGGATTTTGATAGTCTTACAAGTGCTTAAAAAACTAAACCCCCATTTATTTTTGAGTTTAACCAAAAATATACAAAATTATAGTCTAATTACCTTTTTTAAGCCCTACAAAGGTCCTCCCTCTGCAATACATAATACTTGGATAAAAGAATACAAGCAAAAAGTAAGATTACAAATTATCCTCAATAACAAATTGCCTAATCATATCTTTTGTCTATTTTTCCCATTTGGTAATTTGTCTTTTACTTACTGATTAGTAAGTATTCTTTATAGTACTTTTTATGTTTGTTTGTTTTTTACATTGCAAATATATTCTCCTACTTTGTATTTTCTTCTAACTTTTATTCTTGGTGAAGAGAAACATTTTCTAATAAACCAAGGAAATAATAGAGTATAAATAACACCTACTGGAGTTGTCATAATAATATGGGCATGCTGAATCTCAAATAGGTCATCCATTACTGTATCTCCAGTGAGTTCTTTACAATTCAATCCTATTGGTCCAAATTTTTCTTTCCAATCATCAAAACGCTGACTACACAGGGCTTTTATTGGTGCCACTATAACAACATAAGATATATATTTTGAATGTCAGTGCAATTTTAAAATTACTTTCACAAACATTGTTAATAAAATTAAGATAAAACTACACATCTAGGTGCTGCCTAATATTTATAAATTGAAAGAGTTAATATAAGCATATTATCTAGAGATATAATCACCAGACTGAACTAAAAATAGAAAAAGAAGTAATTATTCAGGGAACTGTAACTAAGAGCAGAGAGAGGTAAGGCAGAAGATTATTGCTTATTCATTATAAGCCTTTTTGTGATAATTTATTTTTTTAACCATGTATATAAATTACTTTAATGAAAAATTTTAAATATATATATACCTAAGAGAGTAGATGTTCCTATGGAATTTTTTTAGAATTACAAAATGTTTGAATTTATTGTTCTTGTTGTCCTTTAAAAAATAAACATCTAAAGGTCAAATTTTCAATTTAAATATTACTTTTTATTTACAACTCTGGGAAAATGTGTTTGGAATTTAATGTAACAGACAAGAGCAAATGTGATAGGTTTTCACTAAAAATGTATGGAGAACCAAATATTAATTCCTATGGCCTGAACTTTAATTTATTTCTTACTTTTGCCTCAATGGTTTTTCATTATTATAATTAATTACTCTTACAATATATAAATACTTACTGTAAACAATTTTAATGTTTGACCATGGCAATGGGACTTCCATTAATAATCTTGTTATAGCTAGTTCAAACACTACAGTTTTCCCAGAACCAGTTGGAGCACAAATCACAAAATTCCTATCTGTGTAAAGAAGCTAAAAAATACAATTTAATCAATCAAGGAATATATAGAATTTTTCATTCACACTCTCAATTTGTTAGAAAATATATAAGAAAGACTCTCTGGAATAACAATTCAAATTATTTTTACCTCTAAAATTATTAAAATTCTAACCTTGCTCTAGATCCACAACCTCAAAAAAAAAAAAACCCACCACTATTAATAATTCATCATTTTGTGTTTTTTGTGAAAGTAATATGTTAGACCTAGAAGTAAATAATTTCTTTAGCTTCCAGAGAAATTGTATAAATCTAATAAATATAAACACACCAACCTATGAAAGTCACATGCATTTATTTAGCAAACATTTTTTTAGTTCCTATAATGTACCAGTCACTGAGTGTGGCATTGGAAACATAAAGATGAATGTGATCTAGTCCTTGCCCTTAGAGAACACACAATAAAATAAGAAGAGGTAGATAAGTACAAATCATAATAAAATACTTACATCATCAAAGGCTTTGGACTGTATATAGTTGAAATATGGGAATTCCTTGAAAATACTTCTAAATTTCGCTGCTTAGAATAGCATTAAGGAGTCAAATATTTCAGAATTTTAAGAATTGGTTACTTTTAATTAATTTACTTATTTATTGGTTATTTTTAATTTAAAAATTCAATTAATCAATATTAACTTTGATAATATTTAATGATGAGGCTTTAATACTTGCTATTTTAACATCGTAAGAAAGGAATTAATAGATATAGAGGGAGGGACCAACGTGGCAACATAACAGGCTCCTGAACTTTCCCTCCTCCCACAGATGCACCAAATATATAGTTACACATGGAACAATTCTAAGAAAAATCCAGAAATTAGTTAAGTGACTCCTACACATTGGGTGAATGAAAATACCCACAATAAAATGGGTAGGGAAGGCTGAGACAACTCTTACCCTAAATCCCATCATTGGCACAGCACCATACAATTGGGAAGGAACTCCCAAACCCCAGCTTCTCCCTGAGGAGCAAAGAGTTTGGACCACACATCTAGAGTCCCAACCTTTAAGGCTCCCACCCACAGGATAAGTCCCCAAAACACCCAACTCTGTAAGGCAACAGGGCTTGAATTCACGAGACCCACAGGACGATAGCAAACAAAGAAGCAACTCTTAAATGGGCACAGGAAAACCCCCCCTTCCGCTGCAGGTATACTCAGTGCTGAGGGAGCAGCAAAAATATTCATCTCCAGTTTCTACCTGGAAAGGATTTCACTGCGTATTTTCTCAGCTGCTACCTCAGGTTCTGGCTTCTAAAGAGCCTGCACATAGGTGCTAATTACAACTCTCCCCTTTGGGACACTGATACATTTTAGCACAACTACTAGAAGCCATTAAGAACAAAGACAGTGAGTTGGGCAATCAGAAAGGTTCGAAAGGCAATTAGGAGCTTGGGCTAGGTTAATTGATGAGGCTCATCTCCTAAGACCAGCCTGTCAAGATTGGGAAAGGTGGATATTTTATCCAATGTGTAGAAACCAGCACAGAGGTTAAAGAAAACAAAGAAGTGGGAATAGTTCCAAACAAAAGAACAAGATAAATCTCCAGAAACCAAACTTAACAAAATAGACATAAGTGATTTACCCAATAGTTTAAAATAATGCATAAAAATGCTCACCAAGGTCAGGAAAGCAATGCATAAACAAAATAAGAATTTCAACAAAGTCATAGAAGATATAAAAAAGAACCAAACAGAAATCACAGGGATTCAACATCAGACAGATCAAACAGAAGAAAGAATCAATGAACTCAAAGACAGGGCAATAGAATTAATCCAGTCAGAGGAGCAAAATGAAAAAAGAATGAACAAAAAAATGAAGATAGCTTAAGGGACTTATTTTACACTGATACCAAAGCCAGGTAAGGATACTACAAGAAAAGAAAATTACAGGCCAATATCCCTAATGAACATAGATGCAAAAATCATCTACAAAATATTAACAAACCAAATTCAACAGTATATTAAAAGGGTCACACCCCCATGATCAAATGGAATTTATATCTGTAATACAAAGATGGTTTAACACCCACAAATCAATCAACATGATATTCCCACATTAAAAAGTTAAAGATCAGGGGTGCCTAGCTGGCTCAGTCAGTAGAGCATGTGACTCCTGATCTTAGGGTTGTGAGTTCAAGCCCCACATTGGGCATAGAGCTTACTTAAAAAAAAAAAAATTAAAACTAAAAATATGATCATTTCAATAGATGTAGAAAAAGCATTTGACAAATACAGTATCTTTTCATGATAAAAACTCTCCAGAAACTGGCTAAAGAAGGAATGTACCCCAATATAATAAAGGCCATTTATGACAAGCCCACAGCTAACATCATATTCAATGGCAAAAAGCTGAAAGCTTTTGTCTAAGATTAGGAAAGAGACAAGGATGCCCACTTTCACCACTTTTAATAGTAGTGGAAATCATAACCAGAGCAATTAGGCAAGAAAGAGATATAAAAGGTATCCAAATTGAAAATGAAGAAGTAGTCTCTATTTACAGATGACATCATATTATATATAGAAAACTCTAATGACTCCACCAAAAAACTGTTAGAATAAACAAATTCAGTAAAGTTGCAGGATACAAAATCAATATACAAAAATCAGCTGCATTTCCATACACTAACAAAATATCAAAAAGAGAAATGAAGAAAACAATCCTATTTACAATAGCATCAAAAATAAAATACTAAGGAATAAAGTTAACCATCCCATTTATAATAGCATCAAAAATAAAATACTAGTGAATAAATTTAACCAATTACTGTAAGACACTGATGAAAGAAATTGAAGACACAAATAAATGGAAAGATATTCCATGTTCAAGGATTCAAGAACTGATATTGCTAAATTGTAAATTGCCAAAGCAATCTACAGATTCAATTCAATCCTTATCAAAACTCCAACTGCATTTTTCAGAGAAATGTAAAAAACAATCCTACAATTCATATGGAGTTATACAAGACCCCAATGGCCAAAGCAATCTTGAGAAGGAAGAACAAAGCCAGGGGCATCATACTTCCTGATTTCAAACTGTATTACAAAGCAACAGTAATAAAAAACCCTGATGGTATTGGCATAAAAACCAGACACCTAGATCAATGCGACAGAATAGATAGCCCAGAAATAAATCTGTGTGTATATGGTCAATAAATTTTCAACAAAGGAGCCAAGAACTGGGAAAAGATAACCTCTTCAATAAAAGGTACTGGGAAAACTGGATATCCACATGCAAAAGAATGAAACTGAATCCCTTGCACTATATACAAAATCAACTCAAAGTGGATTAAACACTTGAATGTAAGACCTGAAATCCTAAAACTCCTAGAAGAAAACATGGGGGTAAACTCGGCTACACTAGTCTTGGCAATTATTTTTTTTTTAGATTTAAAACCAAAGGCAAGGCAACAAATGCAAAAGTAAAAAAGTGTACTACTTCAAACTAAAAAGCTTCTGCACAGCAGGGGAAACCATGAACAAAATGAAAAAGCAACCTATGGAACAGGAGAAAATATTTATAAACCATATATATGATAAGGGGTTAATATCCAAAATATACAAGGAACTCATACAACTCAATAGCAAAAACCAAATAACCCAATTTAAAAATGGACAAACGACCTGAATAGACATTTTTCCAAAGAAAACACAAATGGCCAACAGTACATGAAAAGTGCTCAACTTCACTAATCATAAGGGAAATGCAAATTAAAACCACAATGAGATATCACCTCACACCTGTTAGGATGTCATTTCCCAAAAAGACAAAAGATAAATGTTATGAGGATGTGGAGAAAAGGGAACCCTTGTACACTGTAGGTAGGAACGTAAAGGGGTATAGTTTGATATTATGGAAAACAGTATGGAGGTTCCTTCAAAAATTAAAAATAGAACTATCTTATGATCCAGCAACTTCACTTCTGGGTACATATTCAATGTGGGGCTTGAACTCACAACCTTGAGATCAAGACCTGAGCTGAAATCAAGAGTCAGACACTTAACAGACTGAGCCACCCAGGTGCCCATAGGGTACATTTTCAAAGGAAACAAAATCAGTATCTCACACAGATAACTGTATTCCCATGTTCACTGCAGCATTATTCACAATAATCAAGGTATGGAAATAACCTTAAGTGTTTGTCAAGAGACAAATGGATAAAGAAAATGTGAGATATCACACACACACACACACACACACACACACACACACACACTGAAATATTATTCAGCCTTAAAAAGGAAGGGAATTCTGCCCTTTTTTGACAAATTGGATGAACCTGAAGGCCATTATGCAAAATGAATTAAGCCAGAAAGAGAAAGACAAATAATGCACAGTATAACTTATAAGTGGACTCTTAAAAAAACACAAAAGGTCAAACTCAGAAATAGAGAGTAGAATGGTGGTTGACAGGGGATGGGGATATGGGAGGAATAGAAAGAGGCTGGTAAGAGGGTACCACAGGTGGGCCATCATGCTGGTTTTTCTCTCATTAGGTGGTTCCATATCAATTTACACTTACAAAATGAATCTTTGATTCAGAGTAGATGTAGAATTAGTTTTCCAGCTCATGAGAAAACTCAACTACTAACATCACTTATCATCACTATAAACACTTGATATCAAATTTTTCCTTTCGTTCAACAAACTCTCAGCAATGTCACTGCATTTATATAACAGGTAGGAAAATGTCTGCAGAATTGAAAATTATAAGATTACTATAGCAAAATCAATCTGACCAAGCTTCTATTGTCCCGAGGATTCAAATATAGTAAAATATTATAAAAGAATTAGAAAATATGTCATGTCGGGGCGCCTGGGTGGCTCAGTTGTTTAAGCGACTGCCTTCAGCTCAGGCCATGATCCTGGAGTCCTGGGATCGAGTCCCGCATCGGGCTCCTTGCTCGGCGGGGAGTCTGCTTCTCCCTCTGACTCTCCCCCTCTCATGCTCTCTCTCTATCACTATCTCTCTCAATAAATAAATTAAAATCTTTAAAAAAAAAAAGAAAATATGTCATGTCCAAGTAATTCCAAAACTCTCAAATTATCATGAAAAGCATTTAGTCTTCTGCTTTAAATACACACTTAGAAATAATAAAAAGTAGCAGTTCTGTGAGTTTGACAGCAAATGAACTTTTTGAACAACAAATCAATGCAGACAAGAGTATGCAGTATTCTTAACTAACAGAGACTTAAGCAACAGAAACACTTCAGCTGAGCTAATATAGCATGAAAATCTTTAAAACTCTTCAGAAAAGTTACTGTCATATTATGGCAAGTTTCAGTAAGCGATAAGAAGACTTTCCCATCATACAGATAAGGAGAAGAACTTTAACTGTTTAAGGCTAACCTATTTCCTGTGTTCCAACCATATTTAGATCACCAGAGAGAAGAAAGCACAGCAGGATTGAGACATCATGCTGAACAGAAGCACTAAAAGCTGACCACATCTGAAGGTATGATATCATCATGTATAACCCTTTATTGTTCCCTTCCCCCATTCTAACTTAGTTATCTGCATTGGAGGCAAATTTTCATGATTGGTCAGGCAAATATTTTCTAACCATACCTCAGAATGGTCTCAGTCCCCTGAATACCCAGGATTAGAATAATTCTCCCCTAGATTCCTCCAGCTCAGGAGGAATTCATTTTCTGTTTTGCCAAATGGACAATAACTTTTGTGGAGTCTAGAGCCTTACCCAGCTTTGAGTCATTAATTCCATATTCCTAAAGCATGGTTTTGATGATATAACTTGACTTGATCAAAATACTTCATGGTTTCTCCTCATTGCTTAATAAATTAAAAAACAAAAACAAAAACCTCTTGACCTTAGTATTCATGGCATTAAATAACCTGATCCTAAGATACCTTTCAATCATTATGTCCTACTACTCCTGTAATCATAGCTTTTATTTCAGCCAAACTGGAATGTTTGTTCTTTCTAACATATTCCACACTATTTTACCCTCATCCTGGCTCATAGCTACTCTTTTGCCAGAACAACTTCCTTTACCTGCCTTTCAGTGTATTTGGAGATGGATAAATAAGGGATGGCCCTTCCCTTCAAGGAGTTCATAGGTCCTAGGGAAATGGTCACATAATAGTCACAGTTGCTCGATTATAATAAAAAACAGTAAGTACACTGTTATAGACATACATGAAGTATCAAAAAAGCAAAGAGGATGTTACCTCCAGAACACATATATGTACTCAAAATATTTATATTGGAAATGCCCAGACACGTAAATCAGATCATAGGTATAAGCTGCAAATTTCATTCAAAAAATGCTAGATTTGTAAAAATATCCCCAATCCACAGAATGTCCCATTCTCATTTATTTCCCCTATCCATGTTTATCCCAATATGCTATCCTTACCCAAAGTGTAAGAAATTATCTGTATCTAAGTAAATATGCTCAGAATTCAGCCAATAATACAAATCTCATTTCTATACTTATCTTGTCACAAACTGGTAACAAGCAGTTCACAAACTGGCACCAGTCTGCAGACCACACTTTGAACAGCACTGATTCTCACACACACTGGGTCTCTTACATGACCCAAAAGATTCACTTTTCCTTCTTTTTCTTTGTCAGTAAAATAAACATAGACACAATGAAATAACATGCTTACAAATTATGAATTCAAATATAAAGTTGCTGTAGTAAAATAATTTAAAGGATACGGATTTCTGTGACAGCCTTCAAGGAATCTAAATCATTTTCTGTTACCCCTAAAAAAAAAATTCTACATATTTATATAGGTATTTTTAATCTCTTCCATACAAACTGCTTCAATAAAACTAGCATAACTTTCTATTAAGAGCACACTTAAATATTAGATCATGGTTTATTTCATTTTTTATTTTTCTAAGTAGGCTCCACGCCCAACACAGGGCTTAAACTCACAACCCTGACACCAAGAGTCACATGTTCTACCAACTAAGTCAGCCAGGCACCCTAGATCGTAGTTTAAAAAATGCAATATGATTGGGGCGCCTGGGTGGCTCAGTCGGTTAAGCGTGTGCCTTTGGCTCAGGTCATGATCCCAGGGTCCTGGGATAGAGCCCCGCATCGGGCTCCCTGCTCGGCAGGAAGTCTGCTTCTACCTCTCCCGCTCCCCCAACTTGTGTTCCCTCTCTCGCTGTCTCTCTCTCTGTCAAATAAATAAATAAAATCTTAAAATGCAATATGATCAAGAAATGCAGAAACTGCACACAGATAATCTACTCAAATTTATTATTTTTTTAACTCTTCCTTATGCTGAGAAATACAGACTAGTTTGTTTTGTTATAAAACCAACTGAAAAAAGCAAGGAATTAACCTTGAACTTCATGAGGCTGGGATGCAACTGAAAAAGTTGGTGCTTTGAATATGTCTTCTCTGATTTCAGAAGCAGAAAAAGTATTGCTTGCTGTAAACATGTTAATGTCTGAATATTGATGTTTCTGCTTACTACTGCTACATTTCCATGATTCCCCTTTGTTCATTTCTGTTGGGGCAATTTTCACTGAGCCAATAGGAGAGTCCAAGTTTGTACTGTCATTAGAGTTAACACCCTCACGTATATTGTCAGATATTTTAAATAATCTGCAAAAACAAAACAAAACATGTTTGCACTTGTAAGAGCTGCGTAGAATGGGAAAAACTAGCATAAAATTGGTCCCTTTAAAAATGCCCATAGATTGTGGTTTATTCAAATATAAAATTTAAGCATTCCCTTAAAATATAATTTGGCGAATTTACCACGGAATTATGTCTTTTCACTTTTCAGAAACTCAAACCCATTTGTAGAATCCAACCTCCAAGACAACCCCAATGATACCTGTCTCCTGCTATTCACACCCTTTTCAAATTAGGACTTTGAGTCAGGACAGAATTATATGACTAGCAGAGTATTGAGGTAGTACAGTGTATGACTTCCAAGGGAAGGTCATAAAAGATACTGTCACTTCTGCATGGCCTCTTGGATCATTCACACTTAGAGAAGAGCTAGCCACTGTATCATGAGAATACACAGACAACTATATGGAGAGGCCCATGTAGACAGGTATTGTGGCATCTTGTCAGTAATAGCATCAACCTCCCAAACATTATTCAATAATCACTTTAGTATAAGAAATACTAAATAAGTATAGATGTCAAGAAGAACACTTTGCAAAGAAGTATTTTCTTTGCAAAGTTCTAGAAAACACAGGCCCTCTTTAGGATTGCAATTTATTATATTCAACTGATCAAAAGACAACCCATCAGACTAATTTGTTCACCATAGCCTTAAGGGATGAAGTGACCATTAAAGTTCCTAATACAGGGGTGCCTGGGTGGCTCAGTCGTTTAAGCGTCCAACTCTTGATTTAGGCTCAGGTCATGATCTCAGGGTCCTTGGATCAAGCTCCATGTAGGGTATGGAGTTTGCTTAAGATTCTCTCTCTCCCTCTCCCTCTGCCCCTCCCCAACCCCGCTTGTGCACATACGGATGTGTGCACTCTCGCCCCCCCTCAAAAAAACAAATAAAATAAAATAAAAAATAAAGTTCCTAATACAACACTTGTGCCTTACAAAGTAAGTAATAAGGATGACAGAAGATATCAGTCTTAAAGAATTCTATAAGAAATGACATCCAAACAAGTATTGTGGAAATACAGAACACTTTCTTAATTATTTTTACTATTAATTTTTAATGACATGTTTCTATATAAGAAAGCAGGAGTCGGGCGCCTGGGTGGCTCAGTTGGTTGAGCGACTGCCTTTGGCTCAGGTCATGATCCTGGAGTCCCTGGATCGAGTCCCGCATCGGGCTCCCTGCTCAGCGGGGAGCCTGCTTCTCCCTCTGACCCTCCCCCCTCTCATGTGCTCTCTCTCTCTCTCATTCTCTGTCTCAAATAAATAAATAAAATCTTTAAAAAAAAAAAAAAAAGAAAGCAGGAGTCTTTAAAAACACTATAGAATGAGAAATACACTTTAGAACAAACTGTAGGGTTGCATTCTCCAATGCCAGCAGTTCTATCTTTCAGAAAATTCAAAAGCAGATGATTAGCCTTGGATAATATAGTAGAATCTGATTATGAAATGGTATTGAGGACAAGAAAAACAACTTATGCCACAGGATGACTCCTTGCTATATGCTGTCATATAGGTTAAAAGCATGGCCTTTGGAAACAGACAAACCTGGGTTTAAATCCAAAGCTTCTCCACTTTCTAGCTGTGTGACTTCAGAATTTGAAATAAGTTTTGTGAACTATAATAATATTATCCATGTGCTAGTTACCTAAATTCTCTGGACCTCAGATTCTTCCTAGTTCCTCTGGAACTCCCACTCCATAAACTCCCCTATGTCCTCAACTTCTTTCACTGATTGTTATAGTTACTTCCTGGTCTTAACAAAAATATTGCATTGCCCTAAAAAACTCTTGCTTCTTAAACTTAAGTGGAAATTGTTAATTTTTCCACATCCAATGTACTTGAGGATTGAGTCTGTGCCTTCTCCAACCCAAATCTACATCGTTATTCTTCCGTTCTCTTATAGAAGTATCTGTGCCGACTAGTTAAAGCACCTTGTAACCCTCCTCATGGCATATATCACATATCAACTTCTGGTCACTTTAGAATCTTTTCCTCTCAATTCCAAATTCAGCCACCTCTGCATTACTTCAACTTCACATAGATGAGCTGTTCAAAATCCTCCTCCCGTCCATTTCTTAGGCATTCATCTACAGTGGCTTTCTCCTTCAAACAATCTCATTCACCTATTCTCTCATCTTAAACACTGTCATTATCTAGAACTCCTCCTCCTCTCAAATCAATCATTCCAATATATCATTCTCTGACCACAGCCTCTTATCCTTATAGCTTGTTTACACAAGTTACCAATGAGGTCAAAAAACAAATTTACTGTAATGAACCTCTTTATTTTCTCCCAAACTATCTTCCCTTCTCTTTTCTTATCTACCTTTAATGGACTTAGATCCCATGGACTATCTTTTTGACCACTCTTTTACTAGTATTCCAAACTCCAATTCCTCTTTATCCTTTTAACATCCTTATCTTGCAAAACCTCAACCCTATATGAATCTACCTACTTTTTAAAATAGTTGCAGCCAGGCAGGGGAACACTACTGGAAAAAGCAGTTAGGTAGATGATACAACACTCTGAACAATAAATTGAGAGTCATCATCAGCAAGATTGCAGACACAAGATCATATACCAAAATCAATTGCTGATGTCTATACACTTGCAATGTACAATATGAAAAAAATTTTTAATTACATTTATAAAACAAAAAGAATAAAATACTTAGAAATAAACTTAACAAAATAAGTTTGACTTGTCCACTAAAAATCTAACATCATTGAAAGAAATTAAAGAAAATCTAAACAAATGGAAAGATAGCCCATGTTCATAGACTAGAAGACTTAATGGTATTAAGATGGCAATACTCCTCAAGTTGATCTACAGATTCAACACCATCCCCATCAAAATCACAGCTGGCTTTGCAGAAATTTACCAGTTTATCATAACATTCATATGAAAATGCAAAGAACCCAGAGAAGCCAAAAAAAAAAAAAAATCTTGAAAAAAGGAACAAAATTGGAGGACTCACACATTCTGATTTAAAACTTTACAACAAAGCTACAGCAATCAAGACAGTGTGGGATATGTACTTATGCAAAGCATAAGGGGAGATATATTGGTCAATGGAATAGAATTGAGAGTCCAGAAATAAACCTTTATTTAGTAGATAAATTCCTAGTTAGTATAATAGGAAATATACATTTGGTCTTTGTTCCCAGTACCTGGCACAGAGCTCCTAAAACCCTTGGAATTTCCTGTGTGATAGTAGTGATAAAAAGCATCTTTTGTTATTCATGACAAACCTCTTTCAATCATACCTGAATTTATGCTAATAAAGTGACTCTTGTAGGACCCCTATATAGTCCAGGATGGGGGTTAACTGCCAGAAAAAAATAAACCCTAATTAGAGAAGGTTGAACTTTCAGCCTCATTTGTGACATCCAAGGTAGAAAGAGGAATGGAGATTGAGTTCAATCACCAATGGCCAATGATTTAATCAATCATGCCTACCTAATGAAACTACCATGAAGGAAAAACCCCTATATGACAGGGGGTTCAGAGAGCTTCAAAGGTTAACAGGGGTGCCTATGTGGCTCAGTCGGTTGACCATCAGACTCTTGATTTTGGCTCAGGTCATGATCTCAGGATCCTGGGATCAAGCCCCTGTCAGGCTCTGCACTCAGCATGGAGTCTGCTTGTCCCTCTCCCTCTGCTCTGCCCCGCTCCCAACTCGTGCACTCTCTCTCTCTCTAAAATAAATAAATATATAAAATCCTTAAAAAAATAGATCACAGACCTAAATATAAGAGCTAAAACAATATAAATCTTACAAGAAAATGCAGTAGTAAATCTTTATACAACCTTGGATTAAGCAATAATTTCTTGGATATGACACCAAAAGCCCAAGCAACAAAAGAAAAATTAGATAAACTGGACCTCATCAAAATTTAAAACTTTTGTGCTGCTCAGGACATTATCAAAAAAGTGAAAAACAGCACAGAGAATGGGAGAAATATTAGCAGATCATACGCTGATAAGAGACTTTTATCAGAACATATAAAGAACTCTTACAACTCAACAATAAAAAGACAGAAGACCCAATTAAAAAACAGGCAAAGGATTTGAACAGACATTACTCCGAAGGTAATACACAACTAGCCAATAGTTACATGAAAAGATGCCCAATAGATAAGTCATTAGGGAAATGCTAATCATATCCACTTCAGACCCACTGGGATGGCTACAATAAAAAAGATGAACAATAACAACTGCTGACAAGGATGTAGAGAAATTGGAACCCTCACATTTTGCTTGTAGGATTATAAGGTGGTGCAGTTATTTTGGAAAATAATTTGGCAGTTTCTCAAAAAAGTTAAGTATATGGTTACCATATGACCCAGCAATTCCAATTCTAGGTACAACTCCAAAAGAATTTAAAAAATATATTCACACAAAAACTTGTACATGAATGTTCACAGCAACATTATTAATAATAGCCAAAAAGTGGAAACAATTCAAATGCCCAACAATTAATAGATGGATAAACAAAATGTTGTATTGTCCACTCGATGGAATATTATTTGACCATAAAAAGAATGAAGTATTGATACACAACATAATATGGATAAACCTTGAAAACATTATGCTAAGTGAAAGAAGACAGACATAAAAGGCCAGACATTATATGATTCCACTTATATGAAAGTCTAGAATAGGTAAATCCATAGAAACAGAAAGATTAGCGGTTGCCAGGGGCTGGGGAGAGGGGAGGAGAATGAGGAGTTGGAAGAGGGGAGTGATCAATAATGAATATAGAGTTTCTTTTGGAGAGATGAAAATGTTTTAAAATTAGATAGTAGTGATGATTACACAACTCTGAATATTCTAAAAACCAATGAATTTTACACTTCAGAAGAGTGAATTTTATTTTTATTTGTTTTTTAATTTTTTTAGAAGAGTGAATTTTGTATGTGTTATATCTCTTTTTTTATTGTTTGAGAGAATGAGTGTAAGCAGGGGGAGGGGCAGAGGGGGAGGAAGAGGGAGAGAATTTCAAGCAAACTCCATGCTGAGCAAGAAGCCCCATGCAGGGCTCAATCTCATGACCCTGAAATCATGACCTGAGCCAAAACCAAGAGTTGGACCCTTAACTGACTGAGCCACCCAGACACCCCGAGTAGTATCTTAATAGAACTGTTATAAAAAAATTAATGGACATCAACCTCAACTGGGCCCTTTAGAGTACCCAACAGTCCTACCATTATTCTAACTGGATTGCTTTCCATTTTCTATAATCTCTTCCACTCTTCTCATACTTGCTCAATACCCCCACCTTTTCCCTCAAACTCCACAAATGACCTCACCTCTTATGTCACAGAGAAAACAAAATCTATCAATTAGATCTCTTCTGAATCTTTAAACCCATACATCCAGTTCTCTATTTGGACAATTTATAGGTACTCAAACTCAACATGTCTTTGGATGTCATTCTGGCTCAAGTCAGAAAACTAGGGATCACGTGTCATATCTAATAATCATTTAGGTCCTATGGGATTCTATCTCATAAATCACTCTGAACTCTCTCATTTCTGCTACCACAGTCTGCTACATCAGTCTCCCATTCTCTCTCACCTAAATTAATAAAAAAACCTTCTAAGTGACCTTTCACAATGTATTTTAGCTCCTTCTAACTCATCTTACTGATGCCAAAATAGACTTTGAATTAAAAAATATGTAATTTTACTCCTCTACTTAAAATGCAGAACCTTAGAACACTAGCTCTCAAACTTTAGTGTGCATAACAATCATCTAGAAAAATTGTTAAAAATGACAATTCCTGGGTCCCCTCCCCATCTTTATCTAGACTATGATTCAACAGGCCTAAGGTAGGACCCAGGAATCCAAATTTCTAACAAGTACTCCAGGTGATTCTGATACAGTGGGTCCACAGGCCACAATTTAAGAACAGTGCCTCAAGAAAAAGCACAAAGTTCATCATGGCCTACATGATTCTGAATGACTTGACCTCTCCAAACCTTACCTCTCCACATTCTCTCTGATTTTACACAAAAGGAAATTTTCTAGGAATAGGCCAAGCTCTGTGCTACTTTAGGTCTTTTGCACTTACTATTCCTTCCGCCTGGAACACTCCTTTATTTGTCCTTAGTTTAATTCTATTCCTCCTTAAGGTTAAGTTTTTTGTGTGGTTGTTTTTTTTTTTAAAGATTTTATTTATTTATTTGTGAGAGAAAGAGCATGAGAGAGAAAAAGCACAAGAGGGTGGAGGGTCAGAGAGAGAAGCAAACTCCCCACTGAGCAGGGAGCCTGATGAAGGACTCGATCCTGGGATGCTGGGATCATGACCTGAACTGAAGGCAGACCCCAGGCGCCCCAAGGCTAAGTTTAAATACCATTTCTTCAGGAAAGCCCTCCCTGATGCTCCAGAACAGATTAGGTCCCCATGTGATATGTTGTAATAGCAATTCTCAAAGGATGGTTGCGACTCTTTCAGAGAGTTCGTAGGATCAAAACAATTTTCATAATATTACTAAAGCATTGTTTGCTTTCTAAATTTTTTGTTTTTATTTTTTTTAAGATTTTATTTATTTATTTGACAGAGAGAGAGATAAAGAGCACAAGCAAAGGGAGAAGCAGAGGGAGAGGGAGAAGCAGGCTCTCTGTCGAGCAGAGAGCCTGACGTGGGTGGGGCTCGATCCCAAGACCCTGGGATCATGACCTGAGCTGAAGGAAGACGCTTAATCCACTGAGCCACCCAGGTGCCCCTCAGTTTTGATTTCTAATATTGATAGACATAACCCACATACATAAAAACTGTTGGGAATCCTCAATAATTTTTAAGTGTAAAGGGTTCTGACAATAAAAAGTTTGAAAAGTTTGAGACCCTTTGCTCTAACTATATACTTCATCAAAATAATTGTTGTACTATAAAGTATTTAATCAATTATTTTTAGTTGTCTTTCCCCCATTAAGTTGTAGCTCTCTGAAGGCAAGAACCTATGACTAGAATCCCAGAGTTAACAGAGCATCTGGTATACAGTAAACCTTATTTGTTGTTGATGTTTTTCTCATTAGATTCTATCCTACTTCATACAGTTAGACATACCATAAATATTCAACTTTATTACTGAATATTCTGTATTTCATTTAATTAATTACCTTTTTCGGAAGGCTGATATGCTCTCTCCTTTATCTTCTGCAAAATTAACTAATTTTGTATTATCTGGAATACTGTTCTCAGGTGCTATCTCACTGCCAATGTGATTTTTGTATTTCTGAGAAGAACCATATGTCAGCTTGCCAGGAACATGTGATAAGTCATTGTTACCTGCTCCTCCTAAATTCAGATCACCTGCTTCATATTTATTTGAGGAAAAGGCAAATTGGAATTTTTGTGTTCGTGAAATATAATTTGTGTTTTCGTTAGTTATCTTTAAACTTGATGGTAACATTTTTGGCCTCTCTTCCTGACCTACAAAAATGGAATATATTAATTAATATATATTCTCCACGAAAATAAATTTTCAAAATGACCATGAAAAATTTAATAAAAATTTTCAAAACAGTTTACCTAGGTAAACATGAAAGTTATTCATACAATAACAAGATAATCTGTAACACCATATACGGTTTTGAACTATAGGTGATTGGTACTGCTATTGTACATTATATCAGTGAAGGGCACTCGAATTAATTAAGAATTATTGAAATTTATATAAAACCTACATCATAAAATAGGTTTAATTTCTGACCCACAGAAATAACCATAATCATATCTTTTAAGTATTTTATCTACTACAAATGATATAATTATACAATTAGGAGGATTTGAAAATTTATATAACCAATTTACACACAGAAATACAATGACCAATCATACAAAATGTTACTCAATTTGATTCAGTATTAAAATATATGATACAAAGCTTTTAACTTTATAATATTGCTTCTAAAATCAAGATAAAAGAATGCTTTCATCAGGGTGACAAAATTTTAAAGGTTTCTTTACAGAGACTTTATAAGCATCTTTGAGAGGTTGGGAGGAATCTGGAGCTATTGTTAGGGCTTAAATTTGTTTTACCATCTATGTATATACATATATATATATAGTGTATATAAGCTTGTGTATTCTATATATTATTGGTATATACGAGAATATAAATAATGCATATTTTCATGAATAAAATACATACAAATTACAAAGTTTAATAAGATAACATATATGAATTACCACCAAATTTAAAAATCAAAATTTTATCAACAATATCACATAAGATCACATAGATTGTTTGAATGTGCTTGTCTTTAACTTCATAAAAATGGTACCAAACTATATATAATATTCTGCCCCTTGTTTTTTTTTAGGAATGTGGTTTCCTAAGCCAGGGGATCCTACCTTTAGTAAAAGGCAAGACAAAAACTAAATGGCAATGACAATTTTAATAATAAGAGGAAACAAATTCATACAACAATAAAACATGTTTGTAATAGTGTACTGTATACATATAGTATGCTTATGTATGTGTATGTATGTATGGAGAGGAAAAATGTTTTTGATTTTAAGATTTGGTGAGCACTATTTTGAGTAAAATAAATCTCTATCATTTTATTCCATTAAAATAAAGGAATTAACACTTTAATGTGTTACTAGATTTTTTACATTAACATGAGCTGCACAGGTTTAACTTCATAACAAATATGTAATCGTTTACCTAACAGTTTATGACTTCCTATTTCCTCCTCTAATGCCTGAGTATCTGGAATTTCTGAAATCAACGGAGCAGGTGGGAGAAACCAATCCAATGATTTTTCATTGTCTGGATAGCTATATAAAATATAAAAGGGTGAATATATATGTTAATAAAGTTACATCAGAAAATATTTATTAATTAAACATTACTCAATTATAGACTCTTAGATAAACATCCTATAAATTAATTTTCTATGGTGACTTTGATGTATCTCCCTACAGGGCAGGGTTCTCAATCTTTTTTCCCTTGTGTGTCATAGGATTAATGACACTGCTATGTGAGATATGCTACCTAAATAATGGCTATAACTCCGTCTCTTTTTCTCCAATTCAAACACTTGTGACAAGAATCTTAAATCTGCTTCAATATAAAAAAAGGTAGTAAATCATCTGAAACGTTAGCATCTTTACTATCACAAGTAACAAATTACTTATGACACATCTCACAACTAATCATGGGTCATCAGTGTGTAAATGACACCACTACTGGTATTCTCCAGAGTATTCCTAAAACATTATTACAAATTAATGTCCTAACCCAAATACTCTTGATCCAGAACCACCTACAAACCACAGAAAATCCAAGAAACCAGTTGAAACTGACACTTTGTAAACTTACAGTAGTTGTTGAGAATTTTGCCACCCTGTTGGCATTGTGAACTACCTCTCCTTATCTTTCAGCTATGATCCTATTAACATATAATGTTTTAATGTTTCCTTTTCAATGAAAATTGATTTGCCCTTCATTAGAACAAAAAGATAAGTATTAGGTGACAGGAAGTAAACTTAAGAAGAGCCCCACATACACTGTCTATGCCAAGTGGCAAGGATTTTATGATTTGTTTTTTAATCTCTTCATTTAAGATTTTAAACTCTGAAAAGTGAGAGACCCAGTCTTTTACTTTACTGCCTTTCGTAGCACATAACTCATAGCTATGACAGCTATGTTTTTCAAATCAAAAATCTACAACACATTATTTGACAATGTCTGACAGACTGTCTGATAATAGGCCAAAGCATTTGAAATTTGGGACTGTCAAAGGGTCCCCAAGATCACCCCAGAGCTGATGATTCCCTGGGCTGATTCAAAGGACTCAACATATAGTCCTATTTGTGACTATGAGGCAAAGTCCAGGGGAAACCAGGCACAAGCTTCCAAAACTTCCTCTCCCAGTACAGTAACACAGGACATCTTTAATTCCCTCAGCAACAAGCTGTAACAACATGTGTGAAGTGTTGTCAATGAGGGAGCTCATTAGAGACTCAATGCCCAGGGTTGTTACTGGGGACTAATCATGTAGGCATCCCCTGTCTAGCACATAACTAAATTCTAGATTCCCAAAAGAAAAGCAGATATTCAGCATAAACCATATTATCTGTATAAACAGTTAAGGCAGTGGGCCATTCCTATCAGTTAATGGTGGGAACTTTCCTAAAGTTCTCACTCCAGCCAAGGGCCATTCTTACAAGCCAGGCCTTTTCGAGAACAGCAGTTTAGGCCTGACGTATTAACTCTTCTACACAGAGACTATTTCAGGAAATCTAAAAAAGATACAAAAAGCACACATCTAATTCTATTATTCAGCATCGCCATAAAATCAAATCTCCCTTATGATTTTTCCTATTTTCCAGAGGTGTCATCATTCTCTCAGCCATCTAGAATTCAAATTATAGCATAATCTTTTACCTACTATATCCAGACATATACCAGGTCTTACTGCATCTTCTTTGTAATGATTCTTGAATTCATTTCCTTGTATTTCCACTGTCACTATTCCAATCAAAGCTCTAATTAATTTATGTCTGGTTAAGAACAATAGCATCTTAACTGGCCTCACTGCCTCTGGCTTTCTCTAATATATTTTACACACTCCTATCACATTAATTTAGAATTGTTTTCATCATAATTATATTCCATTCAAAATACTTCAGTGGCTTCCAAACAATGTCAAACATCCAAATGGCCTTAGGTTACCTTACAGTTGTAACTCTCCTACACTACTTACCTTACAGTCCAGGCCAAAGTGAACTACTTGCATACCAAATATATAATACATTCTGTCCCTCCTCATCTTTGTTCAAAAATATTTCCTTTACTCTGATTGCCACTATACATGACCCTATCCTATATCTACCTATAGAAGTTCCACTGTTTCATTCCTTCATTAATCTATTCAACAATTATTTACTGAGAACTATTTTCCAGGAACTGTTCTAGCCACTAGAGCTTACGTTCATTCAAAATCAAGCTTAAATCCTTCCCTCTTCTTTTTTTTTTTTTAAGTTTTTATTTTTTTATTTTTATTTATTTATTTTTTTTTAAGATTTTATTTATTTATTTGAGAGAGAGAATGAGAGGCAGAGAGCATGAGAGGGAAGCGGGTCAGAGGGAGAAGCAGACTCCCCGCTGAGCAGGGAGCCCGATGTGGGACTCGATCCCGGGACTCCAGGATCATGACCTGAGCCGAAGGCAGTCGCCCAACCAACTGAGCCACCCAGGCGCCCCCATCCTTCCCTCTTCTTAAGTACTATTTGAACCTATAATATTTATCACAGTTCTCTTATACTGTGTGTCTGTATGTAGATAATATGTATATATTATATATTATATATAGATAATAGAAAGATTGATGATAGATCAGTCTGCTACCATCCCCAGATCATAAACACATAAGGGTTTATTTCTAGTTCCATTCATATCTATAATACTTAGCACAGTGCTTTACATAATTAGACATATTAGTCAATAAATGTTTGTTGATTCAGTTCTATGGCTTTTAACACATAGTCACGTCCAAGATCCTTATTCTGGCACTTAACATCCACCACAATCTATCCTCAGTTTACTTTTCTAATTTTATGTCCCACTGTTTCTCCTTTATGAATCTTCTATTCCAGGAAACTTCTCTATATACTGTCTCCTACAAGTACTGCGAATTGTCCCACCTCCATTCTTTTTTCTTGCTGTTAAACTCTGCCTTCAAATGGCCTCTTCTCTCTGCTTATTAAAATTATCATATCCTTCAAAGTCTCCTGAAGTCTCTTTCCCCACTACCATAAAGCCTAACCTGATCAGTCTGTACCAGGTCTCCCTCCAAATCTGAAATTTGATTGCATGAATGTATGCTTATCATTTCCTTCACACCTTTTTTTAACTCTGTATTGTTAGAAAGGCAACCATATGTTGCAATTTGCCCAGGCCAGTCCTGATTAACACATGTTGTGCAAATTGGATGCACTCTTTCACTCTCAAAGTATCCAAGTCTGGATGATTAATTACATAATTATGTTATTTATTAATGACCTTTCCATATGTGTGCTTAATCTCCTCAAATAGATTTTAAGTTCTTTTGAAGTAAAAGTCTGTTTCATCCTTCTTATATCCCTTTATGCACTCAATCAATATCTGAAATAATATTTGAATGAATGAAAAAATTAATGAAGCAATAAATATTTTACTCAATGCTTCCTTTTTTAAAAAAAGGATAATACAGGGTTGCCAGCTGGGCTTGTGAGTTGGAGCCCCACATTGGGTGTAGAGATTACTTAAAAATAAAATCTTAAAAAAAAAAAGATAATACAATAGAATACATAGAAAACTTAGAATTGAGAACAATTTACATGTGAAAATCCAAAAACCTGTATTTAATGGATTATTCTCTGTTCTTACTTCCTCTGGTGCCGCATCTTTATTTCCACCCCTACTTACTTCCTGCCTACAATGAATCTGCCCATCACACTCGGTGTTTGGCACACTGCCCATTCTGTTTCCAAAAGGTGCCATCACTCCTTGTCCATGGCTACTGTTTGACCATTACTTCAAGTATTTACCTTGGCCAAAAATAATTTGAACAAACCAGAAACGTAAATAAATGAAAGCCAAATAAGCAAGAGTCTACTCTATTTTTTAAGTTATAACATTTAACATGTTAAACTTCAGTTACTCCCTCGTATCTGAATTCCATGTTTACCAGCTATATACCTGAAACATCATTTTGTTGATCCCTCATTTTTATTTGTATATTTCTAGAGAGAAAATTAAAACTCCTTAAAAATAAAAAATCTCTAAAACAATATACTCTGTTATCATTCTTTAAGGCAGACTTACTTTTCAGCTTCATCTTGTTTTTCAAAAAACAAAGTATCCAAAGAAAACAAGGAGTCATTTGATTTCAGCATTGTTAAAGACTGGATTGTGTCATAAATCTACCAAAATACAGAAAAAGTAGTTCATATTTTATTCATAAAGCTGTAGAAAAATATTTCTGGATACATAAACTATAATCATTAATCTCCTAGAATAACCACAGACTATCTTTCCAGCTGCATCTTCTGCAGCTTCCTCCAAAGTGCCTCAATATTCAAATACATTATTCTCTTTTCTCCACTAAATCATGCATATTCACATCTGTACCCCTCTCTTCATACTGCACCATTGCTTAGAATGTGTTTTCTTCCATTTATTCTCTACCTGGCAGATCCCTACACATCCTTCATGTATAGGTCAAATGTCATTTCTTCTTCAAAGGCTTCTCTGAGTTTGTCCTGTTCTCCAAGGCAGAATTAATCACTCCTTTTGGGCTCTTAATACTTTGTTCATACCATTATTTTTGATTTAGGATAATGCATTTTATCACGAATGTGTGTGTCTCTAACAATATGTCAGATACATATACAGAGGTTTGCTTCAAAATAAATGGAGACAGGTAAAGGGATACTGATGAAACAAGACTGGCAATGAGTTGATAATTGCTAAAGCTATATAATAGGTACATGGAGTTCATTATAATGTCCTGTCAATTTTGTATATATGTTTGAACTTTTCCAAAATAAAAAATTTTTGCAAGTTTAACATATATATGTGTGTTTACATTCATATTACATAACATGTATATAGAAATGCTTACATTCTTTTTTAAAAAGACAGTTTTTACATTCATAGATGGTCTCTAAATATAAAGGATAAAAACATTCAGCATTGGCCATATGAGAATATAATAAAATTCTAGGGCTGAACAAAGCCTCAAGTTTGACAGGAGACTGAAGAACCATTTCTACAGACACATACATTGTTCCATTCACATTGCCATTCTTTCCCTTGCATAACAACACTACATCTCAATTTTTTTTCTAAATTCTGAAACATGATAAAAAATTCTATATGACAAAACAAGAAATAGATGCACAAATCATAAAACATAAGTCACATTTCTATTTATTCTGTGATAGTTAATAAATTGCAAATCTTTCCTTAGGATAGAAACTAAAATGAAAGAAACTATATGAGTGCCATCTTGTGGAGAAATCCATACTATCAAGTCAGATTATGTCCCTTCAATTTTGAGTCCTCCCTGATGTAGGGATGAGATACATGTGGGAGTATGTGAGGGAGGGAGGAATGTTTCTACATGCACCCCTTGACAAAATACTACTGGTAAGAGGGCTGGATCTATGTATATCTTAGGACTGTTCTTAGTTATCCAGACGCTGTAGGAATTTTCATTGTTTTAGTTATTGAGTTTTTCTCCCTTCCATCTGTTTAACTTAATTGCCCTCTTTTTTTTTTAATTTATTAATCACTTAGTCACCAACAAAAAGAAATGGTGAAATTGAAACATATTAGCATGGTTCTATAAATGTCTAAAACAATTGACTATACTAAATAATAGAAACCTAGGGGCGCCTGGGTGGCTCAGTCGGTTAAGCGACTGCCTTCGGCTCAGGTCATGATCCTGGAGTCCCGGGATCGAGTCCAGCATCGGGCTCCCTGCTCGGCAGGGAGCCTGCTTCTCCCTCTCCCCCTCCCCCTGCTTGTGTTCCGTCTCTCTCTGTCAAATAAATAAATAAAATCTTTAATAAATAAATAAATAAATAAATAAATAAATAAATAAATAAATAAATAAATAAATAAATAATAGAAACCTAACATAACAGGGTGAGAGACAGAAGGGAGCCATTCAGAAATATGCTAAAGGAGTCTTTAACATCTTTATCTAAGTAAACAATTTCAGAACTTGAAAATAATTACCTGATAAAGTATAAATGAAAATGCTAATCATGTTGCTATACTATCCAAAAAGTAACAAATAGGGGCACCTGGGTGGCTCAGTAGTGGGCTAAGCCGCTGACTCTTGATTTGGACTCCCGATCTCAGGGTCCTGAGATGGAAGGCGGTGGTCCGCACTCAGCGAGGAGTCGGCTTGAGATTCTCTCTCTGCCCCTCCATTATCCCCCCTTCCTCCACTGGCAGGGGCTCTCTCTCAAAATAAATAAATCACTTTTTAGAAAGTAACAAACAAAATGTTCCCTTCCTCATCTTAGGAAAACTATATAATTTTAAGCAACAAAGACAGTTTTCAAAATTAAAACTCATTGGACCACTTTTATATGGATTTGCTACCCCAGAATTTAAGTAGAAAACTGTGTGACTACATAATTTCTTGTCTGTTGAGATGGCCTGCGCTTTATCTAATTATCTTAGTGACAATTTAGCATTTTCGTATCTTCTATGATGTTTATTATATAAATTTTTCTGATCTATTAGTCCTTCCTTACGACTTGTACTCTCAGAAATAAACTCCTTATTTCAAAAGTGCCGAAACCCAGATATAAAGTATTGATTTGCCAGAAATCGGTAGTGAGTGGAAGCCGAGACCAACATTCACTCGAAAAACCACCACAAAGACCGCAGGGAATTTGACACGGTAAGAGAAGAAATAAGCAAATTACCCCTAGTCTCCGAGCTTCGGACGGGGGGGGGGGGGGGGTTGCCCTAGGGGCGGGGGGCGGGGCCTATCTCCATCGCCTTCCCTAGGGTACCCCGGGGCAAGCCGGGAACCGAATCCGGGCCTGAGGCAAAAATACCCTCCGGATTCCTGGGGAATTCCCGAATTCCAAGCAAAAGCCACCCCACACTCCCAGGAGCAAGGGAGAAGCCTTCGGGACCCGCATGTGGCCCGCGCCCCGAGCGCTGGGCCGGTCGCTCCTCCCCTGACATCTCGTTCCCACCGCTGGAAAACAACGTGGTTACAGTACACGCACGCCCCACCTGCAATCGCTCAGGGAGCCAGACACACCTAGAAATAAACACAAGGGGTCCGGGAACGGCCAAAACCCAAACCCGAGTCAGCCAGCTCCGTCAGCTCCGCGGGCCGCCGTCCTCCCGCCAGCCCCACCCGCGCGAGCGGCCGCCCCGCCCCGAGCGCCTCAGGCCTCGCCCCGCTTCTGACAGAAACGCTCTGAGGACCCGCGCGGCTCGGGCCGGGGCGGGCTGTCCTCAACTCACCGCGCCCGTCCGCCCTCCCGACCGCAGCTCGGCGCCGAAGCTCGACCACCGCCCGGAAGGGCGGCTGTCCCCGCCTCCCCGCGGGATCCCGGGTCTCCGGCCCCAACTTCCCCCCACTGGACGTCCGGCCCGGCCCCCCTCCTCACCCGGCAGCGGGACTCCTAGTTCTCGCAGCCGAGCGCCTATTCACCGGCCCCTCCGAGGACACCACTCCCCACCCCCCCAGCCTGGCTAAGCGAGCTCCAAGCAATGGATCGGCGGGGTCTCCGACCTCTCCCTTCCCGCTTCACCTTTTTTCCTCCAAAAGTTGCTAATTAGGTTTGAATGTATTGCTTTCCCGGTATACTGTGGCCTCTTCTCATTAAATAAAGCCCTTAATCCTTCCCCCAGCGCCTGGTAACTTCTATGCTACTTGCCCTATGAATTTGCCTATTCCAGGTTACTCATGTAAGTGGAATCATACAGTATTTGTCCTGTGCCTGGCTTAGTTCATTCAGCATGTCTTCAAAGTTCATCATTAGTAGCATATATTTGAATTTCATTCTTCTTTAAAGTTGAATATTCCATTGTGTGTATGTACTACATTTTGTTTAGCCATTTGTCTGTGGATAGACATTTGTGTTGAAATAAACAGTGAGGTACAAATATCTGAGTCCCTGCTTTCAGTTCTTTAGATATATACGTAGGAGTGCAATTGCTGAGTTATAGGGTAATTCTAAGTTAAACCTTTTGAAAAACCACCAGTTTTTCACAGCTGCTGTATCACTTTGCACTCCCACTAATTAATGCAAGAGGGCCCAAATTTCTCCACATCCTTGCCAGCAAGTTATTTTCCATTTTTAAAAAAAATTATAGCCATCCTATTAGATGTGAAGTAACATCTCATTGTGGTTTTGGTTTTCATTTCCCTAAAGACTAATGATATCTTTTAATGTGCTTAATGGCCATTTTGAATATCTTCTTTGGAGAACTATCTATTCAAATCCTGTGCCAATTTTTTGTTATGTATCTTTTTATTATTGAATTGTAGGAGTTTTAAATATATATATGTTATGGGTATTTGTCCCTTATCAGACATAAGATTTGTAAACATTTTCTCCCATTTAGTAGGTTGTCTTTTTGTTCTCTTGATAGTATCCTTTGATGCACAAAAATTCTTACCAATTTTTTTTCTTTTGCTGCCTGTGCTTTTGGTGTTATATCCATGAAGTCATTGCCAAATCCTATGCCATAAAGATTTTCTGCAATGTTTTCTTCTAAGAGTTTTATAGGTTTAGCTCTTAAGTTTAGGTCTTTGATCCATTTTGGTCCAGTAGACCAACAAATTTTATTCATGTGGATTAGGGTTACTAGAGGGGCCCATTTCAAATAAAAGAGTTGAGGGGGGACATAGTTTTGTCTGGAAGGACTGGAAGAACTTGAGAGACAAATAATAGGTGTTCATAACACAAGAACAAAATATATTTCTGCTAATACAACTGATGCCATTGGTTCTGGCTCAAAAATTACCATAACCAATTTTTTTTCTACTTTGTAACCTCCACTCTGTTTAAATTCTGATCAAGAGGAATTGATTTTGAAAAGTCAGTACTTATGGCTCTAGAGCAGGTGGAACCAGGAAATGTTTCAGGACTATTTTTCTCTGGGTGACAGCCAGAAATGTGTTGTGCTATTGTCAGAATTGGAAAAGAAAAGGTAAAGAGATCATTTGGGAGAATCTGAAAATTGTAGAATTAATGTCTGAGAAAAGGAAAGAGAAGGGAAGGGAAGAGAGAGGTAGGGGAAGAAAGGAAACAAATGTAGTCTGGTATGATGGTATCCTTGGGGAGAAAGAAAACGTTAGGGAGTCATGCACAATTCTGTATAGGAGAATCCAATGCTATCTATGCATTTAGTAGGTGCATAACTAGCAAAGTGACAAATGAATGAAGACCAAATCGATGGATAATTGCTCTTTAGGGAAAGATTTATTAAGTCTCAGTGTAACCAAGAAAATAGTAAACATAAATTGATTAGAAAGTAATTCCTTTTGTGCCTGGGTGGCTCGTTGGTTAAGTATCTGCCTTCGACTCAGGTCATGTTCCCAGGGTCCTGGGATCAAGTCCCGCATTGGGCTCCCTGCTCTGCAAGGAGTCTGCTTCTCCCTCTGCCCTTCCTCCCACTTGTTCTCTCAATCTCTCTCTCTCTTTCTCTCTCAAATAAATAAAATATTTAAAATTTTTTAAATTAAAAAAAGAATAATTCCTTGACTGCAGCTGCTAAGGAGTATGTTTAATGATGATGTACAAGACCCTAGTACCCGTATTTCAGATTTGTTTGTTTTTCAGCAGAAATTGACTCGTCCAGCTAAAATGAATTTAAAATATCTTTGGTTCTCCAAGCCAAGACTGTTGATTCTAATGGGACTGTCAGGCAGGGTGCTCCAATTAGACCCTGAACCAAAGCATCCCATTGACACGGCCAGCCAGAGAGTATTATTACAAAGAATATTAGCCTTCCACAGAAATCAGTTTATAAAGATTCAGTATCCAATAATTGTTTTTTATGTAATTGCACCATAGTGTCTAAAATATGGTAACATAATCCCTGAAGTAAGAAGTGACCATCTAAGCACAGAAACTTTGGGACAACGAGCAGTATTCCACACTGGAATAGAATGATTTCCTTTTTTTTTTTTAAAGATTTTATTTATTTATTCATGAGAGACAGAGAGAGAGAGAGAGAGAGGCAGAGGGAGAAGCAGGCTCCCAAGGATCAGGGAGCCTGATGTGGGACTCGATCCCAGGGCCCTGGGATCATGACCTGAGCCGAAGGCAGACGCTTAACCATCTGAGCCACCCAGGTGCCCCTAGAATGATTTCCTAATTAAAATTAATACCAGTTACTTCAGGAGGAGTAAGTGGAAGATGGTAACCAGTGTATAGTCTCTATGAGTAGTTGTATTTAAATTTGCATAATAAACTGTATACATACTTTTTCTTGCAGTATGTACTAGGTTTAATCTGCCATTATAAAGTCTCCAGGTAAATAGGAATTAACACGTTCCTTCAAACAGTTAGTATCTGAATGTGGTAGACTTTACCTGATTGTTATAATCAAGGTTCTGGCATCCAGAATCTTATATTACCTTAATGAAACATGGGATACATTATACCTGCAAAAAGATTATTTGAAGGAATTTTTAAAAGCCATTGTAACATTTTTAAAGATATTTAAATGTCAGGAATCAGAGTATAAAACCGATTTTAAGAACAGGCATTCTTTGGTTTTTTGTTTTTTAAGGTTTTATTTTGAAGTCATCCCTATGCCCAATGTGGGGTTCAAACTCACAACCCCAAGATCAAGAGTTGCACGCTCTTCTGATTGAGTCAGCCAGGCGCCCCTCTGTTTTGTTTTTTTTATCTAAAGACAAAAAAATAATTGGCAAGATCTTGTAGGAATGTGATCAAAGATTAATATTGTTTATATGTTGTTTAAAAATAAGATAGTTTCTAGAGGTGATATAATTTTGTAGTTAATAAAGAGATTTACAATGATATAAGTGATCAGTTAAGATACTGGACAGATTTGGGGTATGGACAGAATTAAATAAGAAACACCATGAGGAAACAGGAATAATGCATCTGCCTAGAATCCCTTGCAAAAAGGGAATGTGATGGGGGAATTGGTAAGAGATGCTATAGCAACTGGCACATAATTATTCATTTGTGATATATGTCAAGTTATGATGCCTTGAAGCCTGGGTTAATCTCATGTTTAAGTATGTCAAAGCACTGAGAAAGCACAGCACACATAATAGCAAGTATTTTAACATTTTGGATGATCCCTGGAACAAAGTTGAGAGTGTTGTGTCCATGTCTGGCCAAAATCTGAAGTCACTGCAAAGAGAAATAGGCGAATCCATTTTCTCACAACAGCTACCATCATTAATAATTGCCAGAGAAGGAAAGAAACTAAATCTGAAGATATTCTCTAGAAATCCTGGCTGTTCATGGCTCCTGCCAGTTCTGGGAACACAAGATAGATTTCTGGAGGAAGAGCAGGCATGTTGAAGTACACAAGGGACAAAAGTAGCTCCGTGCTGAGGTTAGGGCCCCCCTCAGCACCAGTGCTGGGCACTCCAAGGAAGACTCATTCCCACGGAGGGAGCAGCAAACTCAGCAAGAAGCTGCAAGAGTAGCCACAGGGACTAGGCTGTGGAGGAGAGGCAGCTAAGCAAAGCTCACAGGGTCTGTGAGCCCACTAAGCCTTCCAGAGTGAAAGGTCCTGCCTTGGGAGAGATCTGCTGGCCTCAGAACAACACATTGCCCAGGCAGAGGCTGTGATATGAGCAGCAGAACTGTGACCACTCTAAAGTAGGCAACTCTAAAGTAGGAGCTGTGAAATCAGCCAGGACAGTGAGCCTGGCTTATGAAAAGTATACGCTAATTGTGAGGGTTAATAAGACTGATTGCAAAAGCTAGGGGAGTTTATAAAGCCACGCCCTCCAATTGTCATCTGGAGACTGTTGGGTGGGGATTGTCAGAGAAGCTGGATTCCAACAATGAGGGGACATCATTTCAGAGCAATAATGTGTTTTGTTGTCTTTGGTGGGGGAAGAGTTACCTACATTGTTACTTTGCTTTGTCTAATTCAGATTAGTGACCTGTGAAAACACCAGTGTCACAACAAACTTTACATAGCACTCTACAGTTTACAAATATTTATTCATTTAATTGGAGGGGGGAAATGTCTGAGAAATCATACAAACGGTGTGTGTACGTGCCTGAGTGAATGGGTAAGGGAGTAGATGCATTGCATGTGTGTGTTATGGGGAGGGGAGTGGAACCAAGTAGATGGAAAATAAATTATATTTTTAAGTGGAAGGAATATTATCCTTACCCTAGTCAATAGAGACATGTGGGTTGAAACAAGGCCAAGTGAAACCATTCTGGCCAGGAACATACCCCAAAAGGTGAAGGCTATGGATTTAAGAAAATACGTGGAGGCTGGGAAGGAAATTAAAACCCTCAGCCTAGGAAACACCAAGTCAGATAAGAGAGTGATAACTGTGAAAGCGAAATGAGCTGACGTGTACTGTTAGAATCTTTTCAGATACCCGTGGAATAAAACAGCCGTCAAACTGTAAGTTCTCATTGAACATTAGGAACTTTATTCACCTATTTTATGTATTTCCTGATTAACAGAACACTTAAAATATGCTCTTCTAGGGGAAAAAAATTACAGTTAAC